AAATTACAGACATGGCTATTTCAGTCATTGTAGACATTGCCTGATTGTAGACATTGCCTGATTGTAGACATTGCCTGATTGTACACATTGCCTGATTGTAGACATTGCCTGATTGTACACATTGCCTGATTGTAGACATTGCCTGATTGTACACATTGCCTGATTGTAGACATTGCCTGATTGTAGACATTGCCTGATAGTAAACATTGCCTGATTGTAGACATTGCCTGATTGTAGACATTGCCTGATTGTACACATTGCCTGATTGTAGACATTGCCTGATTGTAGACATTGCCTGATTGTAGACATTGCCTGATTGTACACATTGCCTGATTGTAGACATTGCCTGATTGTACACATTGCCTGATTGTAGACATTGCCTGATTGTAGACATTGCCTGATTGTAGACATTGCCTGATTGTAGACATTGCCTGATTGTACACATTGCCTGATTGTAGACATTACCTGATTGTACACATTGCCTGATTGTAGACATTGCCTGATTGTAGACATTGCCTGATTGTAGACATTGCCTGATAGTAAACATTGCCTGATTGTAGACATTGCCTGTAACATATACAGTACATGCAATCTGATATTTGTAATCTGCTTCAGTTGTAGAGAAAATATTTGTTACTTCTAAACTTCAATTGTGTTCAATTCACGTAGAATCAACACTTAATGCTTACTGGGGCCGGTAGGGTAGCCTAGTAGTTAAAGCGTTCGCCGAAGACCCGGGTTTGATTCCCCACATGGGTACAGTATGTGAAGTTTATTTCCCGTGTCCCCTGTCGTGGTATTGCTGGAATATTGCTAAAAGCGCCGTAAAATCAGGGTTTTGAGAGCCTACTGGGGTAGTTGCAAAAAGTCATGTCGTGCAACAAAGCTCATGCTTATCAACCCATTAAACATAAATCAAATACAAACTATAGATGCCAATCACATTAAAACGTTCCGAAAAGCCATAACAAATGAAAGATTACTTTGACACACTCACTACCTCCAATCCTCATTATACTTTTTCAGTCACTAAATTGAAAGGCAAATAGCCCTGTAATTGCCTGTATACATGTATATAGCACCGTCATCTCGGACAATATTCACGCTTGTTGTTACCCTGCCTGTTCCACTGAGCGGGCGGTGGGGTAGTCTGGTGGTTAAAGCGTTCGCTCGTCACGCCAAAGACCCGGGTTCAATTCCCCATATGGGTACAATATGTGAAGAAGATTTTCCGTGTCCCCCGCCGTGATATAGCTGGAACATTGCTAAAGGCGGCGTAAAACTAAACTCACTCACTAATCAGCATTGAGGGGATAAAAGAAAGATTAGTCACCTCGAGGCTGGTACACTGTGTAAAAGTGGACATCCCTCATGGCATATCAAAACAGCCACATGGTGTTTTAGTGGGGTAGCACTATGAAATCGGTATACATAGGTAGGTGTGGACTAAACAGTCGAAATATACAATTGGTTTGGGGCGAGAAAATAATAAAACATTACTAGGCTGACCTGTTGTAAGTTGATAGATCACCTCTGATGTGGTGCACATAATATCGTCTGAGATACCCATATCATACACATATATGTAGAGATTATTACACTTCATTTTTCATATCTTGCCCGATATCATCCCGAGACACCCATATCTGACCGAGGCCGTCGCCAAGCTTGATAAATCATTGAATCAACCTAACCTAACTAGAAGTAAATAATTGTATAAGCTTGCCCGGGGCCAGATATGACCATGCAGATCCTGCCCATATCGGGGTGGCAAAAAAAGTCCACATCAGGGAAAATATCACTGTATTAAGTGATAACCCCTAATATCTATTTCTTGGAGGGATGTAATGTATAGTATGACCAGAAATTATTGAGAATTTTAGGAATATGTTTAATTGGATTTCTAGTATAAACAACCTTGACCAGCTATCAAGTGCTTGGTTTCATTCAAGAGAGACAACTCCGTTAATCCTTTTTCATTAGTTTGTGAAGAGTTATCCCCTTTGTTTACTTGCTCGCAGACGACATTTTCAGTGATCCTCAGTATGGATGATTTAGAGAAGAGGAAGTTGATTTTAGAGTATTATAACAAGGACATCGGATCAGCTAAAGTGATTTCAAGTAGAACGGGCATCCCTTTGTCCACTGTTTATCGTTAATTTTAACTGGGACAATGTGATTTTCTCAGATGAAAGTTCTGTGTGGCTGTTTCCTAATACACTGAAATTCTGGACCAAACAAACTGAAAAACCTTTGTATCAGCGCCCAAAGTACAGTCCGAAATTTAACATGTAGGGTGGCATATCTGTGTTAGGGGCAACGCCCCTCTGTGTATTTGACGGGAATATGAACAGTGAGCGGTACACAGATATTCTCGAGGGACTTTTACTTCCATCTGCTCACGTGTTCTATGGAAATGTTTGGATTTTCCAGCAGGACAACGACCCAAAACATCGTTCAAAGCATTCACAGGCCTGGTTTCGGACCCAAAATATGACATTATTAGATTTGCCAAGCTATATCCCTGACCTAAATCCAATAGAAAATGTTTGGGGACTTATGAAGGAAAGTGTCAATAAGAAAAATCTGACAAATATTGCTGTGAAAGAAGAGGTGGTCCGATATTGGGACAGCATGGACCACGACTTTCTTACTTCTTTGATCAGTAGTATGCCCCGCCGCATTGAAGCCTGCATTGCTGCCCATGGTGACTTGACAAAATACTAACTGTTCACCTGTCTTTGAATCTGGAGTTATGTTCTGCTAATATTCACATTTAATACGTGAGTAATGAGTGAAAAAAAATAAAAAATTACAATCTTTAAATTCTCAATAATTTCTGGTTGTACGTATTTAGCCTCCATTCCCCTGCAGACTGGTACAATCAGTCACACACACGTACATGCAAGTCACTGTGAACACGAATGTTGAATTATCGTGACCACGACTTTAAACCCAGTTCCAACCCCAATTCATCCTCACCTCAACGGGTACCATACAACGAACGTCACACATTTAGTATGGAATGCAACGTTCTTGAAATGAGCATAACGTACTTCTCCGATAGTACCCGCCAGTCGATTTACATAAATGGTTTGCTTGTAGCGTAACGCCTCACGCAGCGATAGTACTTAGGTGAACGCGCAGACATGTGTTGTGGACAGGGGGATTAGCTCGGAATTAAGACGAAGTGTACATTAACGAATACGAAGGAATAGATTGATTTCAAACTTCTTTAGTTGGTTACACAAGACATGACATAAAACAAGTATACATAAATGAGGTGAGCGGCATTATCCTGCTCGGAATACCAGACTGCTTGACATGTTGATGATTTCAAGTTTAACGTCGGCTTCTGGCTGTAGCCAATGTCGCCGACTGGGTAGGTGGGAGCTAATATAATAAGTAACATGTTTATAATAAGAAGTAAACCACCATACCCAAAAGAATGTAAATGATGGGGCGTTAAATTACCTTGAATTTAGAATGAAAACGTCTAGAAACATGATAACGAAAATAGGAAGGGAAAGGAAAAATAAAGTGGTTTGGTTTAGTTAATGTGAGAGGGGACTGGTTGACAATATATATGTGAGCATATAAACAGTTTTTGACAACAATCGACAGGCGAAGACTCAACAATGGACAGACAGAGAAACAATAGCACTTCCTGGACCAGTTGATGTGTGGTGGCAGACACGGCCAAAGGGTTGACCAGTTAAGGTTATAAATGTCATATACAATAATTAATGAAAGTGACAGAGTGGTACAGGGTGGCTGACAAGACAATGTACAATGCGGTAGAGATAAGGATTAAGATTGCAGATTAAATAATTACAATTAAGTCTCACATTGGCATGGCTGCATGGTTTTTGGTCTTTAGAAATATTTGGACGATGGCTGTCCTGAAATAGACGCTAAAACACTGATATACGACTGAGGCCTGTAAACAACTGGGTATGGACATACAATCCAGTCACAAGACAAAACATTTACTGATGTACGACTGAGGCTTGTAAACAACTGAGTATGGACATACAATCCAGTCACAAGACAAAACATTTACTGATGTACGACTGAGGCTTGTAAACAACTGAGTATGGACATACAACCCAGTCACAAGACAGCACATTTACTGATGTACGACCGAGGCTTCTAAACAACTGAGTATGGACATACAATCCAGTCACAAGACAAAACATTTACTGATGCTGAATTTTTAATAATGTCTGATGTAACAGTATTTCCGACATTCAAGAAATGGAACGATACTTGTTTGATAAATTAAAAATTGAACAAATTGAATCGAACTGAATCGTGCAACTCAGCCTTCTTCAGATAGCGGGATGATGGGTCACAGCGTATTATACAGGTCACGTTGCGTCATTGATCTAATGCAAACTTTCTTCCTGAGTCAGTAGCATACACGCACACGGACATAGTGCACGAACATATATTGTTAAAAGCGCGACAACGCGACAATGTCCCTTCTAGGATTCCATACATTACAGGGAAATAAACAGCTCTTTGAAAAACCTCCCTCTTCTTCAAGTTAGCCTCAACCTGCGATATGAACAAAGTAATTTTATTCAGCAAAAGCGTTACACTTCGACATAGTGACAAGTGGCCAATATGTCGCGTTGTCGTATTGTCGCGCTTTCATTAATTTTGACACTCTTTGCTTGTTTTTGTGAGGGCGACAACGCGACAATGCGATAACGCGACAATGTCCCTCTGACGATTGGGGGAGTTTCTCGCCTGCATCTCAATGGCGTTATTTCTATGATATTCAATAGAATATGTGATATATTTCTACTTTTTAGGCGTGTGTGCTTTAATCGGAGCATATTCACTTCTTGCACCTTGCGAATAAAGTGAGCTTTAGCGTTATACATTTTGAGGCATAGGGTTGTCAGTTATAGTCGAAAAGGTGGACATATCCTGATCCACGGGTGCCACAACGGCACATCAATTATTCACCCCAAAATATGACGTAATGTCTATTAAAATCTCCTTTAAAACATTTTATTGACAAAAAAATAATATAATTTACGAGTGTCTATAGGGCACTGTGACATCTAACGTTTAATAAACAAACTCGACATGATGCATATTTAACAAACATATATATACTGCATCAATACAATTAATGAAACCATATATTTCCCTATGAATATGCATTAGTTAACTTGTATGTGTGAATGGTTATTATGTACTGGTTAGCTTGTAATTTGAATGATTATAATGCATTGGTTAGCGTATACATGAATGATTATTATGCATTGATTAGCGTATGTGTAAATGATTATTATGCATTGGTTAGCTTGTATATGTGAATGATTATTAGGCATTGGTTAGCTTGTATATCTGAATGATTATTATGCAATGGTTACCTTGTATATGAGAAGGATTATCATGCATTGGTCAGCTTGTATATGTGAATGATTATTATGCAATGGTTAGCTTGTATGTGTAAATGATTATTATGCAATGGTTAGCTGGTATATGTGAATGATTATTATGCATGGTTAGCTTGTATATCTGAATGATTATGCATTGGTTAGCTTGTATGTGTAAATGATTATTATGCAATGGTTAGCTGGTATATGTGAATGATTATTATGCAATGGTTAGCTTGTATATCTGAATGATTATGCATTGGTTAGCTTGTATGTGTGAATGATTATCTTGCATTGGTTAGCTTGTATATGTGAATGATCTTTATGCAATGGTTAGCTTGTATATCTGAGTGATTATTATGCATTGGTAAGCTTGTATATGTGAATTATTATTATGCAATGGTTAGCTTGTATATATGTGTGTATATTTGGTCAGGAAAGACTTCAATATGTAATGCTTATAATAATATTCATCTTTGTGGTAATGTGTCCATTACACAGAGTGTACGAACTTCACCCCGGGTATAGGCGCACTGTTACTTGTGTTACTTCCACCCTTAAGAAATGGCATAATGTACATAATAGACATTATTACCCTGAATAACCCAAGCAGCATGTCAGCGCTAGAACGTTGATTGCCATATGACTTATCCCACCGGGTACCCAATTGCTGCTTGGTGAACAGACTCACTTGCGTAAGCTGAGACAACATGTGTCACGCATTCTTCTCAGAACGGTGATTACATCTGTCACTACACAGTTGTATAAAGATAACATAACGATCGATTAATGGCTTCAATTGTTCCACATCTCTCATTAAAATAATATTCCTCTATGTCACTGTCTTGTAAATGAGATCACGTTTTGATTCCGTGATTGTGACGTCCTCTCCACTGACCAACTTCATCCTGACAGTGTAGCGATCCTGTCGTGGAGTTACTCCAAACACCGGGTAAAGGTTTTCTCTGAACACAACATCAAACTTGCCCAATACAACCTCTCTGGTAACATCAATAAAGGAGATTCTCCCCCTCCCTACATCCAGCACAACGCCATAGTGGAGGGACGCCTGTGTGCCAGGGATTAGAGACACAGCATCAGGGAAGCACTTGACGTGTTTCTTATCATTAAATACTTTAGCACACACACCAGTGTGGATGTCACAGTCTTCTAGACACACACACCAGGACCGCGGTTGATAACAAGCCCATCGCTCTCTGTCAACCTGTGTTTCCTCAACCACCCCGAAATCCAAGACGATTCTCCACCACCCTTTTATCACACCGACAGTACAGTGGATCTCCCAGTAGTGAGAGGAGGGCAGGATATTGGTCAGATCGATAGGGGTGGAACTGCATATCCCCCAATACATTTTTAATTTGCGAGCGTCAGATGATTGTGATGTGCCTGGTGAGTTTACCAATTCATCTTCTTCAGTTATGTGGTACTTGTCAGTGTCGAGGCTTGCGGTGTCCAGACTTAGTCTTGGACCTGAAAAAATTACATGACTAATGAGTTAAAAATGTCATCAGATGCATGTGACCAAAGATAGCGTCAAGGACCATTTTTGGCAATTGAAGCGACAAAACCACATCCATAAAAAAATCTCTCCTAAAAGCAGAGTCGATTGTACAATTGTGACTATATCGTGGGTATATAAACAAGACATTTTCAAACACGCAGACAACAGTGATGCCAACTAGCCAGCTTCAAAGGTCTGAGAAGTGATCCCCCAGATGCTTACAATACAGTGCTGAAATACATATGGAAAAACTTCATCCGTGGATATGTGGGTCACTTGTCGCTACACATGGGGGCAGTTGTATAGATAAATCGATTTCGATCACGAATGTTCAGTAGAATCTGTCGAACATTATCTGAAGTTCACGGCGGGGGACACTAGGAAAGGGCTGCACACATTGTATCCATGTGGGAATCGAACCCGGGCATTCGGCGTGACGAGCGAACGCTTTAACCACTAGGCTACCCTACCGCCCCGCAAATAATGTGAGAGTATAAAGATTCGGTGCCTTCAAGAACCCCTAACAAGTCCTTAATTCGCAAACACACTCACATTCCAGTAGCCGACAACATGCCCGCAACATTCCAATAACATGGATAGGACAGCCACACCCTGAAAACAAATGTTTAGTCATTATCAAGCCATGTATCGCTACACAACACAATAAATAGTCCCCACCACACACTGGCTTATTGTCTATCCATGCAATCTGGGATACCATTATACCAAATGGCAAATGGACAGCTTTAATTAGCCGTCCGGCCGGATCTTCCCTTTCCATGTCTCTTCGTGTCTTTTATGCCAGCAAGTATTTGTATTACATAGTTAATGCCTGACACATCTGTTTGGCTGTTGGCTCAATATTTTCATTATTAACATACCTTGGTAACAATTTGTTCATTAGAGTTTCAATTGAGAACACATTTTACTTGAGGCAACATAATTTTCCAAACTGCATTCCTCTTCTTCGAATTTGACTTGATTGATATTGTCCTCGGTGATCATCTGGAAGAGAAACGGCTTGTGTCAAGTCTCAAGTTAGAAGTATTGTCACCACACAGTTGAAATACAAAAATACCTTTTTGCCTTTCTTGGGAACACTTTCGGATAGATCAGAAACTTTATCTGTCACAACCAGCAGATTATGTATGAGCTAATTGTTCCTGACAATGATAACATTAGTTAATCTTCCGATATATGTGTAATAGGGCTGTAACGATGCATCAAACTGTCGATGGATTGCAATTGTTGAGTCTCTGATAGCAACTAATCGATGGTAGAAACGAAAAACTATCGATGCATCGATAGTATGTGTGACTATCAATAGTTTAGTAATTGACTTCCGTTGATAAATGTGCGGTGCAAAATACAGGAAGTACAAGATTCGTTCACATTGATTTAGAGTTGTCCGCCCCTGTTACATCTTAAAGAAGCTTGACTGTTTACTTGATCAGGGTTTCAAGTTTCTTGTCAGTTATTAAAAGAGACTGAAACTACCTCAACTTGTTTTTATTTCATATAAACTATACATTCATTTGAGAAATGACTTCAAGTGAGACAATTCAAGGAGAGAAAAAACTATTGCAATAGTATTGCAATAGTTGGTCACAATAGCCTATCGCTATCGCAATTGTATGTTACAATAGACTATCGCTATCGCAATTGTATGTTACAATAGACTATCGCTATCGCAATTGTATGTTACAATAAACTATCGCTATAGCTATAGTTGTTTCCCCCTCAATAGTCACCCTTAATATGTAATATGTGGTATGTATATAGAAGTTACAAAGCCTATTTGTATTTCTGAGGTGCTCACATTTACTTTTTGTCCTGTATTTCACGTTTGAACGGCATTTAGAAGTGATACTCATAAATGGTGAGAATGTCAACTCCTTTATTATGATGAACACAACGTTTCGGAGTACATTATTCGTCACCTTGATGAAAAAGTAAGAAAATACTTCGAAACGTTGTGTTCATCATAATAAAGCAACTGCCATCCATGATTTTCACCTTTTAATCAGGTGTGTGTTAGGAAATGCAAACAGTCTCTACATTTTACACGACAGGAAAGATCTAAATGTACCGATTAACGATAGAAATACCTACTTGTTTTGCCAGCGACAACAAGTCCTTTCCACTCTCTGTTCCATGCTGAAACTGTGCCAAGCGATATGGCAATGCATGTTTATTGTTACGATCTCCGTGGCTGCCTGCCGGGTAGGAAAGAGAACAAATAATAAAATAATTCAGCAGTATAATCGCTTTAGCAAAATTAAGCTTATCTTCCAAAATGTTAACCCGTGAACGTCCGGGTTAGAATATTGATCTTCAGTAACCCATGCTTGTCGTAAGAGGCGACTAACGAGATTGGTTGGTCAGGCTCGCTGACTTGGTTGACACATGTCATCGGTTCCCTATTGCGCAGATCGATGCTCATGCTGTTGATCACTGGATTGTCTGGTCTAGACTGGATTATTTACAGACCGCCGACAATTAGCTGGAATATTGCTGACTGCGGTGTAAAACAAAACTCACTCGCTCACTTCCAAAATGTTATTTTCTAACAGGCTCTGTTTGGTGATAATGTACAATATTACAACGGCGGGTAAGTGAGTATGGTTTTAAGCCGCGTTAAGCAACATTCCAGCAATATCACGGCGGGGACAACAGAAATGGGCTTCACACATTGTACCCACGTGCGGAATTCAACCAGGATTTTGTCCAAGAGAATGTCCGACTTAAACGGATTGTTAGTGTTCATTAGCCTTTAAAAGCATGCAAGACAGGAGAAGTCAGACAGCCGAGAACCGGTAGACAGCGGTAAGAGCAGGGACAGGCCAGCAGAAAGGCAAGCCAGGGACAAGGACGGACGGGACGGAGCCAGTCCAGCCATCTGCTGCCCAAGTGTCAGCCTCAAATCTCCGCCTTCCGATGGTAGCCTCTGTTTAAACTGTGTGCAAATTGTGTACAACACACAATCTTTGCACGCCACTAAGCCTCGTGTTGTTTGAAGAGTGCCAGATGTGTTACTGTAATGAGCGAACGCTTTACCCCTTGTGTTCCCCACCGCCCCTCACACCTGCAGTGACATTACCTGATATAATTCTTGTACAGTTTTGATGCTCAGTTGATCCAGGATTTCCCTCGACACCCTGAAACAAAAATATCTCTCTCAGCGGAAGCCGCGGTGGCTGAGCGGGTTAGGCGGCTGACTTTGGTTGCTGGCGATTGGGTGCCTGACTCTGAGGGCGTGGGTTCGAATCCCGGGTGGGACTTAACCCAACTAAGTACAGTGAAGCCTCGTTAATCCGGACGATTGCGTTTCTCAGCAAATTCGTCCGGATTGCGAATAGTCCGGACTACTCAATCAAGACCCAAGTTCAAGCAAGAGTTGCTTCCCTTACTATTACAAAAACGACACGAATCTGGATAAAACAAATAAGCATTTAATGTAAAGCTTATAAAGCAATGAATAGCAAGCACAACAATAATCTATAGTCACAGCAAAAGTCTTTCATTGTTGTTTGTGTTCGTTTAACCTTCCTCATTGAATTCATCACATGAATAATTTTACCGAGTGACATCCGCATGTTGATCCGACGTGTATGATCACGTCCTTGTACTAGAATCTGTACTTTACTGACAAAGGGTAATCCCAAATATAACATTTGTAATATTTGACCACTTTCTAAATTGCATTGTGTATTAAAAAAATTCTATATATTGAAAACATATTGGTATATATGTTTGAAGAATGAGAACAGTTTGTTTGATTTTAGAATCTGGCAAACCAGTATACACTGTTGAATGCATAACATCAAGAATTGTAGGTGATATAGTTGAAAATATGACGTTCATTAAGGTGTTTTAAAGGCTTACTGGTACTGATTTTCGTAGCATTGGTTCAAGCTCAGATATGACAGATATGACATCAGCCTTTCTTGTCATTTGATCCAATACAGCCCGCCATTCAACTGAAGACAACAAAAGAAAAATCACAAAAATATGATTATTTCAGATATTTCCTATATTTTCTATAAATAGTCCACGCCACACACATTTTCTTTAGATATTTTCCATATGACTACAAATGTAATTTATGAAAAGAAACAAGTATCTGAATAACATGCATATCCTTACCAGTCCTGATTGAATGTCGTTGTTGTCTTATACGGGTTGTCTCCTGCAACAATGTAAGTGCAACAACAAGGTACGTCTTCAGTATATAAAACACTATATTCATTATAAATATCTAATGCAAATTACCAGATTGGAAAAAATCTCAGTGAGGAAGTATGATTGCTTTCAGCAACATTCCAGCAACATCACGGCGGGGAACACCAGAAATGGGCTTCACACATTGTACCCATGTGGGGAATCGAACCCGGGTCTTCAGCGTGACGAGCGAACGCTTTAACCACTAGGCTACCCCACCGCCCCTGAACAGTATGAACTCAAGAGATGTCTTATGATTATGGAAAGAGATTTGAAGGTTATACTTTGGTTATGCCAATAATGGTTGTCACCCCTCTCCCCACCCCAACCCCACACACACCCAACACCCACACCCACACCCCCTCTCCAATAAAAAAAATTGAAGGGGGTGACAACCATTATTGGCATGAGTATATGACCAATATTGTACGACATATTCACCTGTTCTATTTCTGTCACCTTTTGCTTTAGTTCCGCCATATCCTCCTCAGCTATAAAATAATATGGGATAATATAACATTGAAACCAAAAAGAGTAGGTTGTATATATCTTTTCAATCTGTGTACAGCGTGTGTCGTTTTTAATCATGTGTAGATTTACACATGAAAATGAGGCTGACTAAGGTTTTTTTCGATGTGTGTCCCATTTTGTAACAAAATCGTGGGAAATTTCTTTTACCATAAGGAGGGATACCTCTCTAGCTAGGTTAGTATTTATTTATTTCAGTAACATGTGAGAAGTTTAGTTTAGATGTTGTTCAACGCCGCACTGAGCAATATTCTAGCTATATGGCGGATATGTGTGAGAAGAGACATTGACTGATTGACATATTTTGATGTATATTGTTAATAGAACACGACCGTAGAAAACCAGGTACAGTATGACCAGAAACGGAGACTGAAAGGGATTCTTGAGTGTTTTCATACCTGACAAATTTGTACAAAAAAGAATGATATAAATCGTGTATGGTTACCATTCAGATAGCAGAGGCAAATGGGGGTGGGGGGTGGGGTGTGTGTGTGTGGATGGGGGTGTTAGCCATAGTGGATTTGTAACAGTAATTAGTAAACGGCTGTACCTTTGTGTCCGTGATTCCTTTCAGCCTCGTCACTCATTGTGGAACTGATACCAGCGTTTGGAACAGATCTCTCTTTGTGTGTAGTGTCCGTCTCACACTTTCTTCTTTTATGCAGTTTCTACAGAAATATAAAGACATATTGCATATACAGGCATATGTGGTGCTTATAATACTATCCGACCGTGAAGACCCGGGTTAGAATTGGTCTTCAGTAGCCCATGCTTGTCGTAAGAGGCGACTAACGGGATCGGGTGGTCAGGCTCGTTGGCTTGGTTGATACATGTCATCGTATCCCAATTGCGTAGATCGATGCTCATGACGTTGATCATTGGATTGTCTGGAACCAACTCGATTATTTACAGACGACATCATATAGCTGGAATATTGCTGAGTGCAGCGTTATCCAAAAGACAACAAACAAATAGTACCCTACCCCGTTGTCAGGGCTGGTTGAAGCGTCACAACTGTTGTCATAACAATACACTTACGTCACTTTAAACTAGAGTTTCCGTTTAAAAGCCACTACGTCAAACGCGACACATCTGGCACACATAGCATCTTTTCTTCGTGTTATATCCGAAAATAGATCTTATGTGCACAGGTATGGACAAGGAACTGTCTACATGTATATGAATATATCATATAAAACAACTTACGTTTAGTGGAGATTTCTTTCTCTTTCGGATACATTTGTCGTCCTTCTTTAAATCTGATATGAAACGTTAACATGTTAAGTGCATTTTGAAGAATATCGGGTTGTATATGAATACCAATAGCCTTACTGTCCGTATGTTAGAGGTTTAACTGATAAATATCAACAATGGCCATTCAAAGTGCACACGAACCTGTGTTCCGGAACGGGCTGATCTCAGCATTGCTGTTCTCAGCATAAGAGGCATCTAGTTCCTGAAACACAGGAGTATTCAGAATTATATTCAAACTCACTAAATAGTTATACATGTGGATTAACGCTATTCGGTGTTTTTGGTTCCCGTTAGGGTGGTCGTCATACAGGTGTATTGCACAGTTCATGTATTACTGTGCTGACAAATGTACAAACAATGATAGGTACTTTAACGGTGAATCGTGAAGATCCAGGTCAGAATTGGTCTTTGACAACCCATGTTTGTCCTAATAGACGACTAACGGAATCGGGTTGTGTGGCTCGCTGACTTTGTTGACACATGTCATCGTATCCCAATTGCGTAGATCGATGCTCATGTTGCTTACTTGATTGTCTGGTTCAGACATTATCTACAGGGCGTCTTCCCATTCTGCATACAGTAATTTTGGTAGGCAAACTGGGATGTAGGCAAATTGGGACTGTAGGCAGACTGGAATGTAACCATCTACAGACCGCCGCCATATAGCTGGAATATTGCTGAGTGTGGCGTTAAACAGCAAACAAATAAAAAAATATTTAATGGTAATTACCCTTTGGATGTCAAGGCCGCGTTCATTCAAACTCCTTGCAACTGAAACACATTACACAAGTATAGATATACGTGGATGATATGGAGGACTATTTCCTTTCTCGTCGAACGATTTATCATGATGGGTGATGTTGATGGTACTGGTTATGTCAAACATGTTTAAACTAAGGCTAATATCAACCCGAACCACACATATTAAACTACGTTTATAACGAATACGCTCATAACGAAGTCTGGTCATAGTCACAGTATATTTCAGTCGAAGTGCTTGTAACGAATAACGAACTACGGTTATGACGAATTAAACATAGTGGCAACTTTGAAGTCCAAGGTAGCCTAGTGGTTAAAGCGTTCGCTCGTCACGCTGAAGACCCGGGTTCGATTCCCCACATGGGTACAATGTGTGAAACCCATTTCTGGTGTTCCCCGCTATGATATTGCTGGAATATTGCTAAAAGCGGTGTAAAACTAATCTCACTCGCTCGCGTTATTACCAAAGTTTACTGTAAGCGATTTACTTATTTACTTACAAGTAGTTAAAGCGTCCCTATAGTATGCCAACATCACATATCGTCCTAATAACCAAAGTACAGTGTATTCTGTAATGAGTGAGTGAGTGAGTTGAGTTTTACGCCATACTCAGCAATATTCCAGCTGTATGGCGGCGGTCTGTAAATATTCGGGCTTGGGCCAGACGATTCAGTGATCAACAGCATGATCATCAATCTACGCAATTAAGATACGATGACAGGTGTCAACCAAGTCAGCGAGCCTGACCACCCGATCCCGTTAGTCGCCTCTTACGACAAGCATGGGTTGCTGAAGATCAATTCTAACCCGGATCTTCACGGGTTTACTCTGTAACGACAAAAATGTGATCTTTAAGAACAGATAAAAGGCTATGTGGGGACGTCAGCTACTTCCTTTTTCTATTTGCTAAAGCATTACATTGAGTTGCCAACGATTCTGTGGAATATCCTCGTGTCACGAACCTTTCAAAAACGTGAGACCAATCTCCGAATAATACATTTGAGTCATGCAGGAAGTAATTTCTGCATTACAGGTAACAAACGCTGGCAGGTAGTAATAGGCTTCTATCAGGCTATCCTTGCACCTCGTTGGCAGAGTGACAGCAATCACACCCACTTGTAAATATACCGTTGTTTACATTTTGTAATTTGAGTAACACTATAATTTCCAGTAGAAAGTCCCCTGCGTATGTGCACATATGGAAGGCAATGTGAAGGTTGCTCAAAGCAGGCATTCTGTTTAATCAATATCTTGTCCGAGAACAAGCAAGCTTCCCCAATCTTTACCTATAATAGTTCAGGGCAAAACTGTACATTATCACACTGCACTGTCATTGGGATAGAGCGAACTGTATTTCTTTTCTAAAACGCCACATTTAATACTACCCGACGATTAATCTGAGGCAGATCACACACACACACACACACACACACACACACACACACACACACACACACACACACACACACACACACACACACACACACACACACACACACACACCGAAAACTTAATCATAATGAGATGCTAGCCAATTGAAGCAACTACAAATCAAGAAACGGTGTGCTACGGGGTTAGTTTTACTGTAGGAGATTGTACTAGGATATGACAACTAGTATGCATCGTGACGTTGGTTACCAAGGGTACATTTGATTACGAGAGGACAGACTAGAATGGCATAGTGACGTCATTACAGTGTGATGTAATGCAAAACGTGTACTTTATCGCCTGATAAAATAGTGTCGCCGGCTTTGATCGTTTAGCGAAGCATCTTAGAAAACTTATTAATACATTCTACAGAAAAATCACGTTGACAGCATAGATTGCACTTACCGTTTCTCAAGAACAGGACCTTTTCCTGGGAACAGAGAATTGACCGCCTTTTCCTTGTCATCGACTGTGACAGAATGATAGTGACACTAGGAATTATTACATTTGTAAAGAGCTAATACGTCAGATTTGTTGAAATTTCAATACAAGGTATAACTGAGCATCTTACTGGAAGAAACCCTGCAAAATGTTTAGAAAAGTTTGAAGAGGTTACGTATTTATCAATATCTTTCTATAGATATTATTGGAGCATATATTTTACCATAATCAGAAAGCAAGGAAGTCATGTATATTTTCTTAGATCCACTTTACTTACCATTTGTAGAAACTTGTATAAATCTCCTTTCTTGTCGAAAGTTTGCTCTAGCGATTTCTCCTCTCCTAATGTGATGAGACAATTATCGTCGTATCCATCCACTGCAAAGAAATGCAAACCATGTTAAATCATCCATACGTACGTATGTATCCAAATATTTTTTAGAACATAAAACAACTTAAGACAATGTGGAAGTTCGTTAAAAACATTGGTTAAGATAGTATGTTTTCAGAAATACGTACTTTATTCCTTTAATTTTCTTTAAATAAACATCAAGCTCCTCTCAGTGGTTCCGAGAGAACAGACTACTTTCAGTTTCAAATACCTTTTCCTGACGCCCACTGCCTGTCATCTGTAGATCCTTTCTGAAAATGAATGTAATTTTCTTATTTCCATAAGTATCCTTTCTACATTGTGTAAAAGCGACTGATTCCGGAAAACCTTTGTCCGATTCATATTTTATACCAAAGCGCATCTTCTATATAGCCAAGACATGTGTAACTTGATTGCAGTTATTTATTTGATGATACTCTTCATTTTTAATCCTAATCACCAACCCACTGCATATTGACTTGCCAGCAAACCCGTGCCTCTGTCTTTTTTTATGAATTACTGCTATGTATGTTGTGACAATTATAACCTTTTTGGGTTATCCCTTTGTCCTCTGTCATCACGTCAGTAGGTCCAAGGCAATGCCATTGTCTCTACGTCTGTCCATTGTTGTCTCTTCGTCTGTCCATTGTTGTCTTTATATATGTAGGTAGGTGTATATATCGGCTCATTCCCACTTACCCAACTTACTGGGGGGATTATAAGAGATTATATATAACTTCAGCTATATAACTTCTATATATATAATTAATGAATAAAGATAAACATTATCACATTTGGTCCCGGATACTCTTTCACAGGGAACTAAATAAGGGATTACATGGGATTATTACGCCCCAGTGATTTCTTCTACTGAAACGATAGGAGTTGGTGAGAGGGAAGACCCCTATATATCTATACTGCCCGTTTGCAAAATACGCATTACGTCGGAAAGTGCGCTTTAAATCTCCAAATCAGCATCATCATGACTACCCGGCAGTCCAAAGACACTAAACCAACTATCAACTAAAGAAATTTGGGACTCAAGGTGTTGTTCGTCTTTATTCTGAGTTCCTCTGTCGACACCATGTACGCGATGACAATTGGTAGAAAATTGTTAGCCCATTAATTCAGGTGTACATCACTTTCTTGTTTAACGCAGACGGCGGTCTGGACCAGATAATCCGATGATCAACAGCATGAGCATCGACCTACTCACTTGGGATCCGTCAACATGTGTCAACCAAGTCAGCGAGCCTGACAACCCCATCCAGTTAGTCGCCTCTTACGAAAGGCATGGGTTGTTGAAGACAAATATACCGCGGGGAGTTTAATTTCCTAACTGGTTCTACATAAACTTAACAGAACTGAAGAAAAAATATATTTTGTATATGATATCAAAATCAATCACCGACTCCAAACTCTGCAAACGATCCTCAAGCAACTCGATCTCACGTGCATCTGTAACAGATAAACATTGAAACAGTACTTATTTAATATTCGAACGTCAATACAAACATACATACACGCACGCACGCACGCACGCACATACATACATACAAGAAAAGAGCGTGGTGTATCCGCCAGTTCCTTATAAACGTAGTTTACCGTACTATTCCCCGAAACCGTTTCACATTTTTCACAATATGTAAAGCATAGACAAACCTCCACTGTAGCGGAAATACCAGGCGCATTTAGGATGAAGTCCCAGTTTAGAAATTTCAGTCTGGGTACAGTCTGTAACCAAGTTTTCAACTTCTGAAGGCAAACATTCTCTGTCCTGTTTCTCCGTAAATTCACCCAAGGTAAATATGTGACGACAAACGGACATTTTCCTGAAACAGAGCACATGTTCCCAGCGATTGTTAAATAAAGTATATGTTTTAACATAAGTATCGACATATATATTCTTTACCAATGAACATCAACAAGATAAATCTAAGACAGGTACGATACTTAATGAATAACAACTTCTTTATTACATACTACCCACCAAAGGTTTAGACCTCACTAGTGTAAATATAGCCACTTACTTCAGGCAACTTTTCTAAACTAACTTTTGCAAAAATATTCCATACTGTTTAAAGGTACTGTTAACACATGAACTGATGTATTGTAAATCCAATTTGTAACGTTGAAAAGAGTCTTGTTATGAGCTCAATAAATGATAAAAATCAGTGAAAATTGGCGAATTGTTAACAAAAATTTACACCAAAAAGCAACTGTTCACATGCACGATATTTACACATGCTTTTCGGCAATTTGATGTATGATCCTCGTGCAATTCATCTGCATAAAGTTTGCAGTTGCTTTCCCCAGGTTGGTAGAGAAATCAGTCTTCGATGTAACCATCATTCTCTTCCCACAGAGGTTACTTGTCATATCTTCCTACGAACCTCTGTTCTAATACGGCCATATTTCCGGGTTCTCGTAAAATCCCCTAGCGGCAAAAGATCGCAACACGAATTATCTCCCTTCTTTCTATCCAATCACGTGTTACATCGACTTAGATTCAACTTGACTAACACAAGCAAATGTGGGGCCACAAATATCCCCCATCTGCCGGGGACTTGTATTGATGTTACACACAAGACGTTTAATGGCTAGCTTGTCCGTTGTCAACAAGGGCGATGGAGACGCCACTGATCCGCCATAACATGACTGAGTTCTGTCTAGAAGAAACGTTAGCGCATCGCGCAGGGGAAGAAGATTATTTTTCTCGAAGCATACGGAAATTACCGAGGCCTTGCGAATGATCACTTTTGAAACAACGTCGCTGATTGCACAACTAAATCTGATTGCCTCCAATCACGAGTCTTGAACGCTCACACCATGAAAGGGCCATATTAGAACAGAGGTTACGTAGGAGTAACCTTGTAGGAAGAGAATGTGTAACCATATATAATACATAACATAAAGTGCGTGTTTTAAGTGAGTCTAAACTATTGATGGGAAGTATATTTAGATGCGACGTTTCGGTGTAGATTCTTCTACCGTTGTCAAGCAAGAGTGAAGTAATACAGCACAGAACCGTATGTATCAAAGGGATTAACAGCAACAACAACAATGGATATTGGTAACACTGCAGTAACAGTAGGAGGAAGCCAACTGTTGAAGAGGCAGGACAAAATATACATGGCAGATTGGATTAATTAGTAGTCATGGTTTGAGTGCTCTGTTCTGTTGTTTTTATCAGTTCAGATCAGATAAATCTAACCTTGCAAAGTCCAAATGTTGATTTCTGGAGTGTAAAAGAAGCATTGTGGGTCCACCTTTATTGAGTCGAGATGCAACTTCATGAAGAAGAACATTCCCCCCGCAATGTGGCTTGGCTAAAACTGTCACTTCCTTTTCGCTGACATTTTCGGTGAGGATGCAAAACTGTTCAAGAGTAAGTAACCATAGTGACGAGGCATCTTCAGCAGCTCCAGTAACAAAACGGGTCACAGCAATGGAGTTCAGAAACGCATGCAGGACTTTGGGATATTTCTGAACAGACATTGCTAAAGATCCAGTCACACAGATCCTTGATACCGCTTTCTTTATATTCGAAAGTACATTATCAAAGGCACATTGTTCAGACAGTTCTTTCTCGTTGATCACTCCATACACGGAGCTGAACTGTTGATCGGTGAATCTCCGTATGGCATCATTTACCCCTTTAGCTAGTGACAGATTATATCGCCTGGCTGTTGTGGACTGTGAGTCTTCTTCTTTCACAACACTCAGGATCATGGTGGGCTTCGTCTCCGTAATCAAACACACGTCCAGAAGGACACTGTCAGGCTTAGGCTTAGCTACAAAGTTTGCAGAAACAGCAAGGTTCTTAGCTATGTACGCAAGACCAACGCTATTTGATGCCTGTAGACGTTGTTTTAATAGCTGTGACAGGTGTTTCCCGTTTTGGTCCGACAATCTTGGATAAATAACCACCTGATCTAAAATATGGAGGTTATCAAATTGAACAGTAGTGTCTGACGATATATTGTGTCATGAGATGATATGTAGCGTGATACAGGATGCAAATAATAAGAGGCATGATTCAGTGGAAACCCTAATATTTTACGATGATAATCTGCCCGTGAAAATCTGGGTTGGAATGGCTCTTTAATAAACCCATTCTTATTGATCGATCGACATACTAGAAGTTGGTGAGTCCAAAATGGAACATACATCTTTATGAATGACAACTTCTTGTTTAGACCTTCGTCGAAACGTCGCTCAATGCAAAAAACAAGAAGTTGTCATCTATAAAGTTGTATGTTCCATTTAAACCTTGTCTTGTCGCAAGAGGCCACTCACAGTAGCTGGTGGCGTGGCTCGCTGACTTGGTTCATGATTCATGATAACTTGATTCATTTTATACCAATTGTGGGACAAACAAAGCCACTTGTGTCTACTCTTTTTCCTTGTAGAAATTACTTTTATTGCATATCGCTATGTTACCATTGGTGCAAGCATTGTCCAGTCTGTTATATTCTAAAAATATTGATATTATCAAATCTATTGCAATTTATTTAAAACATGTCTTTAATGCAAGAAATGCCACCACAACAAACACGTGCATATAATTGTAGCAAGTGTATTTGTACTATAGGCCTTTAGGCCCGAAATACTGAATAAAAATGAATCTGAATCTGAATCTGAATCATTGGTGCAAATACATATTTAAACTGGCATAAGAGCATTACTCACCAGCAGGTTCATGTTGTCGCTTCAAAACATGCTGCTCTATATTCTCCTGACTGTTGCCTCTCTGTTTGACTTGAGGAAGACGGTGGTCAAACGATTTGATGGCAACGTCCTTGAACGATTCCATATCCAGAATAGCTAAGATGTGAAGATAACAGAACAAACAAATATTACATTAAGACATTATCAATATATTTGCATTATCAACTTAACGTAACATCTAGGACTCAACTATTGACAAGTTATCGTGATTTAATTTAATATTTGCTGACCTCGGCGAAAAATATCACGCCCTCATTTGCACATACTTTCCATGTGTCCATTTGTCCCAAAAAACCTCATAATATTCGTACGTGTTCCGAGTAACCAGACGTTTAAAATTACAACACATTAAAGGACTGAACTGTAGGCAAACTGTAACATCAATTGTCTCACCATCTGACAGTTGTTTTACGACTGCCATCGTAATGGTGAACACTGAAAAAGAATACAAGCATGAGATGGGAGAAAAAAAGTTTTTGACATATCAATATCAAATCTCCATTATCTTCTTCCTTATCATTATCATAGTCTTCTTTATCACCACCACCAACAACATCATCGTTATCGTCATCATGATCAGTGTATCCATTTTGTGAAACCGGAACTTGCAGTGCTCGTTTAAAATGTAATTAAATTTTGGAAACAAAATAAGAAGGCATGTCATGAATGTGTATTCAATTTGTAAATTAAGTAGTAATGACCAAGATGACATATGTAGTGTTTTCTGAAGCACACATTACACAAACCTGAAGGAGGTCACCGATACAAGACTAGCATTCCTTCATGAGCCGCATGTACCAGTCACTGACATGTAACCTTTTCAGTGTATTTTGACTAACTTCATATGATTCAGGCCCGTGTTTGTCGTAAAACATGATTCCATCAACTGCTCCAACTGCAACTTCAAGAACGTAGTAGTCTGGTTTGTCAGTATCATGGAAGGCGATCTTTAGGAATTCATCAAGTTCAGGAGACTTCAAGTGAAGAGTTTTGTTGTCATAAGACAACACCATTATTTCATCAACAATGTTCTTGAGAAGTATGATTCTTAAATCTGAATGACGTTCAGATTCGAGTTTAAATCCATCAATATAAAATGTTTTGGACGTGTAGGAACCCTGTATAATTTCCTTTTCAACAATACCTAAGTAAAACGACCCCCCTCCATCTATTTTGGAAAACGCGCTAATGTATTGTCCTAATTTTAGCTCCTTCCAGATATAGTCACTTAGTTTACTGTTGTCGCTAAGTAATTGTTCTTTGAGAGTTACATCCTGATGTGTAAACCCCTTCACTTGCACGCATCGACTTTCCTGTAAATTTTCAATTGATAGTCCTCTTATTCTGGCTTGTGTATCCTCAAACGCTGTCTTGTCTCTCAGAAACTTCTGCACTGTATTGTTTGTGGGATCTACAATGCTGTTGTCTAAGGGTATCTTTGTATTGAAGTCTGCAGTAACAACTGTGGCCGATGGCAGCACAATGACAGCAACAAAGTCTCTGTAGCTAATTTCTTCTTCAGGCAACCAACACTTTTTTGTAAACCCTAACAAAAAGCTTTCCATCTTCGATCAAAGAATTGAGCTTGCCATCAACCAGCTCATGAAGATATTCAAGGCATCTGTCATTCTCTGCGAGACCCGCCAAATGTATTAAGATTGCTCCCCCTTTGCTGTTGCGAAGTGCAGAAATCTTTATCAAAAGTTCACTAACGAACGCGTTTCTTTTATCTTTCCTTCCTTTAGCCTTAGTCCCGCTTCGATCTCCTGTCCTGCTGCGATCTTTTGACCTGCTTCGATGTCCTGTCCTGCGTTCTGTTGACCTACTTTGATATCCTGTCCTATGATCTTTTGACCTGCTTTGATGTCCTGTCCTGTTGCGATCTTTTGACCTGCTTCGATCACCTGTCCTGCTGCTATCTTTTGACCTGCTTCGATGTCTTTTACTGCTGCGATCTTTTGACCCGCTTCGATGTCCTTCCTGTTGAGATCTTTTGACCTGTTTTGATCACCTCTCCTGCTGCTATCTTTTGACTGGCTTTGATGTCTTGTCCTGCGATCTTTTGACCCGCTTCGATCACCTCTCCTGCTGTGATCTTTTGACCGTCTTCGATTCCTTGTCCTGCGATCTTTTGACCGGCTTCGATGTCTTGTCCTGCGATCTTTTGACCCGCTTCGATATCCTGTCCTGCTGCTATCTGTTGACCTGCTTCTGCTACAACTCCTTGTTTTGCAATGTTGTTTCGACCTTCTTTGATACTTTGATCTGGAAGGCTTCTTTGAAGTGGTGCGATCCTTTGACCTGCTTTGGTCCTGTGAATGGTTACGTTCCTTTTGGTTGTTTTGAACTTTTGGTGGTGGGTTGATCAAGGAGACACTTACATGAATTGGTAAGTATCTACTTTCAGGTAAAGGAATATCCCGTGGATCAGTTTGCGCTATACCCAAGCATTGTTGACACTGAGAACCTGAAAAATATGATCAAAAGTAATATGAGTGTTGTTTGGAGAATTTTATAATATATTACTACTCTTTAAAGAAATAATCTGAACAGATCTCGGATTATCGGAAGATTAAACATCTACTCCATTCACATTTTTTAGTTTGAGTGGACAAAAAGTCTAAAATATTGTTGTTGGAGCTATAAGTTAAAATGCCTTAAAACTGTGGATGGAATTGTCAAGTAATTACAACAATAACGATGAGAGAGGCCAGTCCCAGCTGCATTTAGATAATCAAATGTTATCAATAGACCATTGTTTGATAGAAGAGGTCGGTGGTTATAATGAAAGACAGCCAACCCGGTTCTATAACTGAGCGCCAAACTAACCTTCATTTTAAGACCATGAAATGTATTATCGGCTGTAGGACTCTCTCTCTATTAATCACTTCTACAATATGCACTGGATAACTACAAGGAAATGTTTTTATCCTGGAATCGAAACCTGGGTACAAGGACAACTTGTATTATGATATTGACTGAAAGAATGACTAAACATGCACAGTAGATTCAGTTCCTTGTGTTAGCTACAAGCAGTGTGTGTGCTTCCTGTATATTGCTTCAAGTTCCTGTTGCAACAAAAAATCAGTAGTTACGATTTGCACCAATTCACCAAACGAATCATTAATGTGGAAAGCCTTTTAGTTTCTTTGAAAAAACCCTCGAGGAAACTTAAGGCAAATCAATGGTATCTATTTTTGTGTTCAACCGACGACCACGAGGTCCTGAGAAACAAATGTAGCGTTTAGCCACAAGTGCCGACAATTTAACACTCAAAAACCTATACACTAGAGAAACGATTACGTTTGATACACGTATTCAGATATATCATATTGAAGAAAATCCTTTAATGGTTTAATATAAACACTGAAACTCAAAAGAATAGGAACATAATCTAGTGTCCATATTACGTCAAATCATACAGAATTACGTAAAAGTAAAAGGCTTATATAAATGTATTTCCTTACGTAATATGTAATCTGTTAGAGATATAGAAAGATATCTGAGGTTTGTAACATACTGCGTATATGGTATTACATTGTACACATGACACTATGCATACAACACACATAGTATTACACATGACATGATACTACAATACAATCCACGATGCTATACTACAACTATAGTGCTAAACCATGCACCGACATATAACACGTCACACATGACGCTACACACGAGCCTCTTCATACTTGGTGTGGTACTCAGTATGTGGTGTGGTACTCAATATTGCACTGTACGTCGTATTAGATACGTTTCACCACACACGGTACTGTGCACATCTATAACAGATTAGGTATGTTGTCATGGTTGGTTTATTCAGTGCTCACTGCTGATCGACTTCCTTGTTGATGATTGAACACACTGGTGTATTGTAAAGAACACAGCACATTAAAATATTAGAGCAGTGTGGGTTAGCCTTGTACGTGGTGATCATTGGTATGGAACCGTTTTGTTTTCGTCAATAGTACGGCTATATTGTGGCGATCTGTAATAACTGTGTCTTGACCAGACAAACCAGACGTTTGTGTCATGAGCATAATCCTTCGCGATGGCAAACACAGAAACTACAAAAAAGCAGGAAGCAATTTACTTAAGTGCTGTGTTAATGTGTTGAGCTTCACTACATACCGTGGAGACTGTCGTACTTAATCTGATCAACACCAATCGTTCCCTGTGCCATCCTTAAAATACGTGCACGGTATCATCATGTAGGAATAATGTCTTCATCTGTAGGGGATAACAAAAGTGTATTACCCATAATGGTATAATGAGATTAATGATGTGTATTCAATCGATACTCATTACTGATGGGTCATTTGATGCCATATGACGTCACAGAGATACACTCTTCACAAAAAGAAACGCATAAGTTATTTTTAGAAGAATTTATTGTGTTAGTTTAAGAGCAATTATTTCATGTAATCTCAATTGTAAAAAAGGTGAAAAATGCCCACGTCCATAGCCAAAGAGTTCGTCAACATAACAGCAGCCTTTATTGTTGTGTTTCTGTTTACTGAGTCCACAAGATGGCGTCAAAGTCAGTACTTTGTATGACCACCATTGGCAGCAATTACTGCTCGGCACCGGATAAGTCGACGAAGTTGCTCTTGCGGAATTCTTCCCCACTCTTTCTTCCTGCAATGCGATGGCCTGTTGTGGAAGTATCTGGGGCGTGTTTTGACTATGACTTACACGTCGATCGAGTTCATCTCATGGGTGTTCTATCGGGTTTAGATGTGGTGATGGGGAAGAACATGTCAAAAAACTGATGTTAGAATTGGCAAGGTAGCGGACCGTGACCCGTGCTGTATATGAAGTAGCGTTGTCATGCAACTCCATAATCGGAAGCATGTGACGTGCAAGGACTTCGTTGATGTACCGATTTGCTGTTAAATTCCCCTGAACCACTACTAAATTAGATCTTTATGTGCCGGATATCTCACCCCACACTATGACACATCCTCAAATGAAACTGTCGACCTGTCGAACGCAATTAGGGGTAAAACGTTCATTTCTCCGACGGAAAAAACCTTGTCCGTGATTCATCACTTAACCAGATTCGCCTCCAGTTTCTAAGGTGCCAGTTCCGGACACCCCCGCAAGTGGTTGCGCCGATGGAAGATGCTCAAAACAAGGGCGACAACTGTCATTCTTGGTCGAATCCCCACATCAGGCAATCGATTCCTGACAGTTTGGTCGGAAATTGCTATCAAACCAGGGATGCTTTGGGAGCTCTTTACGGCTGTGCCAGATGATGAAGCAAGTGAGCAGCCCGGATGTGTCGGTCCTGGGCTTGGACGGTAACTCTTGGATGTTCACATGTATATGGATAACAGAAAATCAGAGATGACGCCAGGTGTTTGCGAAATATGCTGAATGAGATTAGGAATTTTGTTATAAACAGACGTACTTAAGAAAGTTAACACTTGGTACTTTTGGATAATTGTCGAAAAAATAACATTTTATTGTGACTTTCACTTTGCTTTTGGTTTTTTAAAATAATCCCAAAGCACGTCAGTTTACGTTCTCGTGCTGTCTTGGGTGGAATTGGTCTGCAAGAAACGATCCCAAAGACGGGATATGGCGCTCTGATGAACGTTGGAATGTCGGGCAACTGCAGACTGCGACCCCCCAGCTTCAAGGCGGCCTATGGCGATGTTTCGATTGGCGGCATTCAGTCCTGGCATGATGATTTCCTCTTTTCCAGGCAAAAACGAATGAAAAAATGAACCAGAACGTTTGCATTTTTATAATGATCGGTACCGCATGCTTTCCCGCTTACTTGTAAACACAAGTTTGCTTTGCATGTTTTCTTGGTGACGTTTTGGCGAATATTTCCTGAAACGCTTCTAAAGCAAGGTAAAAAGTTAAAATTGCCGCGTTTTGGCGCTTACAATCACACAGAGATGACGTTTTGGAAAGAAATAGAATAGTTTATTTGTATTGTTTTTACTGCAGCTACGTGAGTCTAATATTATCAACATCACCCATGCGTTTCTTTCTTTTTTGTTTCTTTTTCTTTTTTGAAGAATGTACATCGACTCTTCTTGACGCCTCTAATTTATTACCATTGCAAAATGATATGAAATTCCTAGAACCTCCCCATACACATAAAACATAATCGGTTAACTGTGCTACATTCAAATCTTACATCTTTGGTTTGAATATGAAATTGTTTGTTTGATCATGTATAAAAGTAAACACGTCCATGCCAGGCCAGAATTGTTGTTTTTATAAAATTTATATACATGTATATGGATAACAGAAAATCAGAGATGACTCCAGGTGTTTGCGAAAATATGCTTAACGACATTAAATTTTTTGTTATAAACTGAAGTACTAAAGAAAATTAACACTTGGTACTTTGGGATAATTGTCAAAAAACAACATTTTATTGTGACTTTCAGTTTGCATTTTTTTTTTTTTTAAGTCAACCCCAAAGCACAAAGTATGTACTTTGTACGTCAGTTTATAACAAATCAGAGGTAGTTTAATGTTCTTTTTATGTGTACATTTCAATTTTTAGAAGCCTTAACGTGCACGAATGTATCAGTACTGTTGAAGCTGGGGTACGGTGGCTCTGTATCTTACTGGATATGTTAGTATAAGAACTAACATGGATAGGAACCTGATCTGACATTTTACCATGGACCTGGATTGTACCCCGGGTACGCGTATTTACATAGACGTTACCGATCAGTAGCTTAGCTAATGACTGTGACTATTTGATCGTTGTTATGCTATCTTTGATATTCTCGTTAAATGGGTTTTATTAATCTCCAGAATGCATGCAGAGCCCGGCAACATGACTAACAACATAGTTATCGAGATGGGTTGTTCTGAATTCTGTTTGGTGCACATAGAGTTGTATTTAAAATCATTCCAGCATGAGCGATCGAATTTCATGACCTAATCATGAGCTTGGTTACAGCTGAACAAAAGCTTGTGAATACATGAATAGTCTATAATCGTGAGAAATGGACCTCATAATGTTCTATGGTTCCCTAGCCTTAATGGATCTACTTCTTTTGCGTGATTATATATAACAAATAATAGCCAAGCTTACGTAAGCGTCAACTTTCAAAACGCCTACATCAATTAGAGGGGTACTTTTGTACTTCTGGAAGCAACACATAATGGGGGTGGGTGAGTGGTTGAGGGTGGAGAGAGGGGTGGCAGGTGGTGGATAGGCCTCTTTTTGCAATACTCCAACAATGTCACAGCAGTGAACACAAGAAATGGCCTTCAGTCGTTGTACCAAGGCCTTCCACTAGGCTACCCCACTGCTCCTGGCTTCTTAACATTGGAAAAGGAAAATGCACCGATCTTAAAAAAGATATAGATGTCCATAGATAGTCGTTGGAGTTAAACTGTATCTTAATTGCATTTGCAACATGTGGTAGAATACTCACGTAAGGTAGCCTTCCTTCAGTGGTTCCTGTGTCATGCAGACCACTATCCTGCTCTACATGCAGATCAGTGTCATTCTCTTCATGCAGACAGACCAGTATCCTGCTGTACATGCAGATCAGTATCATTCTCTTCATGCAGACAGACCAGTATCCTGCTCTACATGCAGATCAGTATCATTCTCTTCATGCAGACAGACCCGTATCCTGCTCTACATGCAGATCAATGTCATTCTTTTCGTGCAGACAGACCAGTATCCTGCTCTACATGCAGATCAGTGTAATTCTCTTCGTGCAGATAGACCAGTATCCTGCTCTACATGCAGATCAGTATCATTCTCTTCGTGCAGACAGACCAGTATCCTGCTCTACATGCAGATCAATGTCATTCTCTTCATGCAGACAGACCAGTATCCTGCTCTACATGCAGATCAATGTCATTCTTTTCGTGCAGACAGACCAGTATCCTGCTCTACATGCAGATCAGTATTATTCTCTTCATGCAGATCAGTATCCTTTAACATTTATGCCATGCGCGGGGAGACAGTTTGTTTTGAATCTTCTGTAAATGAATCATTTCAGTACCAACTGGGTAGATTCCATGTGGCGGTAGTGTCAAAGTTTTGAGTCAAGTAAGCTAGTCCCCACCGACATGTCATCCGTACAACACAGTAGCACACGGATAACACATGCAGTGTCTTTGATATATCTGCCAGAATCGTCGAACTTCAGTTGCACACGGGTAAACAACGTGATACTGTGTGTGACGCAGAAGGTTGTGCTCTAAACGTGACTATTATGTGTAATCAATACACACAATACGGTGTGGATATGACTTACAGATCGGTAATCGAGTAGTCTAAACAGTTAAGTGTCACTCCCTATGTCCTCGAAATCATTTATCTTACTATGTGCATTGTTAAGAAACTGATCACCGGTAGTGTAAAATAGATTACAGTACATTGTATCTATCTCAGCAGTTTTTATGTTACCGACTGTTATGTCTCCTTGAGCCATCAGGGATCCCGCTGATATGTTCAACCAATAGGGTGACGCACAAAACATGTATTGTGTTAACTGTCGTAACAGCCATTATGGGCAAGCCCCCATTATTTATCATATTGTACTGCGTATCAAAAGCACGTTTCAAGTATCATATATTCAATAAAGTCAGATACCAACACGTCACATGACAGTAAGCAAGTACACTTCCTGGTCACATATAGAGTTACTTAAAGTTATGTGAATAACGCATATATATAAATATATAGCTATGAGTTCCTATAACGAAATGTACACAGTAAATGAGTAGGACAGGAGTCATAGCAAATTACTACTATGTGACATGCTCCTGATAGAAACAATTTGTTAACAGAATGCAGCTTATATTCCGTCACACGTCATGTCTATATGTACAGAGTTCAGAATCGAACTAATCCTAAATAATATGCAAGAGATGAATTTAGTGCAACGCATATTTATACTGATGTAAAAAAAACCAAAAGGTTATAAACCCGCAAGACAGAAATAGAAGACACATATGAAGACCTGGAAACACGATCAAGATATGTTGTCATGACAACTGAAAGTAATGGGGATTGGGTGGACAGCATGGTACTGGAGATACATGACATTGCGTGACATTTCGTAAGCGAAGTCCGCATATTTGTGTCGAAACAACAAATACTTTAGTTTGAAAACACAATTATTATTGCAGGAGCACAATATAATGCTTTTGGGATTTCTGACATTTGATATATGTGATAATCCAACAGAAAATTACACAAAACGTTTAAAATGCTAAAACGGCATCTGTCACATTCACCCAATACTGTGCAATTTGCTGTCGAGATCTTCACTCCGTGAAAACTGCTATGCTATCCATCCAACCCGCCAAACCTGAGACCCATTTAGTAAAATACGCATAGGTTTAATATCAAATATCCAAAGTAATAACTAAAACGGAATTAGTGTAAATCTATGTAATATGCTTAATACGTCTGCACTTTTGGTTTTACTAAAATTATATCGAAATACTTATAGCATGGCACACACTTATTTCCCTCCATAATACCATTACTATATGATTAAAAATGAATATTGTTTTCTGCAGACCAAAAACTGTATCAAATATTAAAATGATATCGTCGACAGACAATGACAAAATCAGTAGAGTCATCTCTGGATGAAACTGGATACGAGGTTTACATGTGGATCCAATTTTCCGCGGTGATTCATTGATAAACATAGAGAATAGATATGGACAAAGGACACACCCCTGCCGTACACCCAAACAACAATCAAACATATTTTGTGTTTATGGATCACAATGAAGCAGTGATGATAACAGTGATCGTGAAACAGTGAGCGTATGCTGACCCACTGGTGGCATCCGTTCTAAACATATGAAAAATCTCTTGAATTGTTCACCTGAAGAATCATTAAGGTATGGCACAACCTAAACGGGGAATTGCATCGAACACCATTTTTGTCACTAATGTTTCAAATTAAGAAATTTCTAATTTTTGAAAGCTTAACTGAGGCCTTGAATGATGTCATCGGTTCCCAATTGCGTAGATCGATGCTCATGCTGTTGATCACTGGATTGTCTGGTCCAGACTCGATTATATACAGACCGCCGCCATATAGCTGGAATATTGCTGAGTGCAGCGTAAAACTAAACTCACACACACATACACTGAGGCCTTGAGTGGTGTACCTTGATCGAACAACTTCTGAGCAAATGTCGCATGACTGTCCATGAAATCTGGGCGAAAAGAGCAGTTGAAGTCACAAATAGTCAAAAGAAGCAAGGCCCCCTCACACCGTAATGCCCTAGTAGACCATTCACTACGCGTGTGGTATCTAAGGATCTACTGAAACCGATTTCTGATTTTCTAGTTTTGTTTCCAACTTTACCAGCGACTCACAGATTGTGTGATAAGCGGCAACAGAAATGTAAAATCAAATAGGCGTCACAGAAACGTTTTAAACATATGTTGTAATTTGTATTACACTTTCTCAGATTGCAGAGTGCAGATTCTCGCACCTGTTTAAGAATCCACTCTTAGAGTAAGGCACCTAATCACACAAGGACAGCGATCTAACCCACTCAGTTACCGCGGCTTGTGCAAATTGCAAGTCTGACAACTGGTAGTCTAGATCTACCCTCTGATAAGTGTAAACTGGCACGGCTCCCAATGCTGAAGCAATGAATACACAACGCCCTTTTAGAAAGCTTTCCAATACAACATACGTCACACACGCTACTTGTACATTATATGTATGTATGTTCAATTTTATGTCTGCATGTACATATTTATTACTCGCCCACGGAAGATACTGCAGTGTAATATTTTAGGGCAATATTACACTAGTGTAATATCGGTAGACGGAAGGTCACGGAAGGTCGTTTAGTATCCTCTATGTATGCTATGTTGTCACGAAAGGGGGCGTCATGTTGTTATTCATTATTGAGCAGAGAAACTGAAATGACATTTTTGACACAATCACGTGTATTTATTTTTCCAAGAAGAAACTTAAGCCAACTGCGTTTTGGTAATGCTATCCGCAAAACCGTGCTTGGTAAGTATGAGTTCACAAAATCCATTCATAAATGTCCTTCTACCCGAAAGCAGTGTTTTATTTTCATGCCTGACATTACAGCAGGTGTATCATTGCATCAGTTTTTGTGTCCCCTCCAGACTGTTGGGACAGTTGTCCATTGGTCGAGTGAAGTGACAGGGTCGCACACATACTTGTATGTCCCATTAATCCTGTCAACGTGGCCATCTTTGTAGCACCTTCCATTGATGGTACACGCATCCAGCTGAAACAATATCAGCTACACGATAACATGGATAGAGAAGCTAAGGTAAACTGCTGCATGCAGTGCTACACAATCGGTACATTAGGAAGCCAAAGAAAATCATTTCTAATGTATTCTTAGATAATGAAAATAATTATTTAAGTATGTGTTATAGAAAAACTACTCTTCCAGTTTAACTAAAAGATAAGCAACTTTTTGCTATTCCTTATGCATTGCTTCCAATTCGTAGTATGAAAACCAAGGTTAATATCATGGTACTATCAGGACTTTGTGTACATATATAGTATCTCGTCACAACATAGATGATGAATAACAGTATTTTGTATGTAGATGACATTCAGAAACGTCCATCATTTAGACAAACATACCAATATAAGTGTTATGTAGCTGTGTTATTCGTTATGTATCAATGTTCCAAGTGTAATACATTGTGTTAACGATAGTGGGCAGGGTGTGCTCTATATTTACACTTGTACTAGATTTAAACAGTAAGATCTGGAGTGTACTACAATGGGGTATGCAAGGGAAGTTTAGCCCTTACCTCTCATCTCACATTACATCACAAGTTACTAACAGACTAGCATCGTGTGTGATGCTCGTTATACCCTGCCTTGGCCTATAGTTGCAAGTTGCATTACTGTTGCTGAGAAAGTGAATATTACCGTCATTGTCTTTATTGCTATAATCACTGCTATTGTACTATATTAACTATGAATTTGTACTGCTACTGTGTTTGTACTGCAATAGTGATACCTTCTGTTGTGATTTGTAGTGATTTGTGAATTTGTTTAATTTAGAATTACGTCACACTTCTTTGCTGTTTGTTGGTTTGACACCTAGTTCATTTACGGACTGTTTCCCGGTTTGATTTTTAATTTTAACTTCACATACGATGTATCCAGTTGTTATCGCCAAAATAGTAACTGATCGGAAAATGTCATTTTGAACTGAAATATGAACTTACCCTTTCATAGCAAATGAAGTGTTCACACATTTGGCACGTGCCGTCGTATATGGTGTAGTTGATGGATGACGTTTGGTTCTTGGAGGTCGTTGATTCAGTCAGGAATATTTTGAAAAACATCGCTTCAAATTCTGTAATGTTAGGGATGAATACACAATGTCACATTGGATTAATGTGGGATTAGAATCCTCAGTAATGTTACAGATACATAGTACTGATGTTGAATCGTCATAAATAATATTGCTTCGTGTGGCTTGAAACACATTTATATGTGATCAAGATCAAGATCAAGATCAAGATGGTTTATTGTACATAAGGCCTCTGGCCCGTATACATAGTATTGTAATGACAGGCAAGGTATGGGCATTGCAAACAGTGGAAAGCATCATAACATTGTTAGATTAGTTGACAGGAGAAATTAGACTCATAATAATAATCATGATCATTATAATTATGGTTGAGATTGTATAATTGAATTTGCTTTTAGCAGAGGTTCCTTACAGATGTGGAAGGGATTTTGTCGTCTTTATCACTGAATAGGCATTTCACGTTTCCACTTTAAGCATGTCATCGTTGTCTTTCCGAAAGTATGTGGCTCCAGAACGGTATACAACATATTTCCTTCCTCTACAGGTAATGTCCCTTCACGCTAAGGAGATAATTAACAAGCATGTGGTGTCTTGTACTTCAGTTGTAGCTTCCTTTTTGTTTTACGTTTTGTAAAAGTGGGTTCAGAGCACATGGCTCACTTGACGAACATTACCTAAGTTCCTAATAATAGGCGTCAGGTTGCTGGCGACGATGGAAGCGTGTTCTCTCACAAACTTCACCGACTGTTTCCCAAATCCTTGTTGAGGTCTACCTTTCAGGTACTAAAATATAAATTAGTCAGTCTGAAAGTAACTATTTTATCATTGACACGCTAAGACCCGTTTAAATACTCATTGGATTATAAATAATGTATTAAAGAGATATCATGAAGTATCACATTATTTGCGTGTTATTAAAAGGGTGGTTTGGTTACAGGAAAAACGTTATGCATGGGTGAGTGGGAAATATGTCAAGAGGAACTGTCGCAGAATTATATACTCAGCAGCCAAAAAAAAACGTCAGTAGGAATTCAAAATTAGATAGGCACTGTAATCAAATCATTACAGAAATGGACATAATGAGCGGATCAGAAACATTTTTTGTGTACAATATCTTGACAAATCAATGAATAACTCATTACGTGAATGTTTGCAGTCCAGTCAGACCCATGACTTCAGTATCTAGTGTGATCACCACGAGCGGCAATAACTGCAGCACAGCGTCTATGCATGGAGTGCACCAATCGATTCATGAAGGTCATTGGCACCTGGAACCACACTCTGAGAAAGGCCTGGCGCAATAACTCGGCTGTGTTCGGCCTGGTATGACATTCAGTCTCCTCTGAATTTCATCCCAAAGATGTTCAATTGGGTTTAAATCAGGACTAAGGGCTGACCACTGCATAATGTTGACACCGTTGTGCTGTTTGAAGTCCCGTGTAGCTCTGGCAGTATGGGCCCGGGCGTTATCAAGTTGCAAAATGTTGTTCTGGTGATGTGCGAAATGTGGTATGACATGGGGTCTGAGAGCTTGGTCGATGTAGCGCACCGCTGTGATGCCACCTCCTCTCCCTGGACCACAGATCTGGAACACCACATGACCCACTCTCTGGTTCAGGCCTATTCCACCCCATACCATGATGCTTGCACCTCTCCATGAGTCTCTTTCCATAACACATTGGTCTGAGTAACGCTGACCACGTCGTCGCCATATTCTTGTTCTGCCATCTGCAGTTGATACGCAGTACCGACTCTCATCTGTGAACAGAACAGTTCTCCATTGCCTGTAGTTTTGGTGTTGTAGGGCACTGTAGACGTTCAGCCCGATGACGAGGGGTTAGGATAGGTCAACGGTAAGGTCTACGGCAATGGAGGTTACCGCTGTTAAGACGTCTGCGTACTGTATCAGTACTGATTGATCTTCCGTGTGTTCCCACTGTCTGGTGTGCTGTTTCGGATGCCTGCATGAAGGGATTCTGTACATGCTGTCGCACAACATGGCGGTCTTGTCGTTTTGTGGTCACCCTTGGTCTGCCACTACGGGGCGATCATTTGTGGCGTTGCTGCAGCCGTAGATGATCCGAACGTTGACCTGGAAGTGATTGGCTACGGCTCGTGCAGTGTGGCCACCTTCAAGTATACCTAGCACCTGGTTCCTCTGAGCTGTCGTGAGTCGCGGCATCGTGCTGACGTTATAATGTGAATGTTTCATCCAGGTTTCGGGGTGCATTTTATAGGGCTGGTCCTTGTGAACAGCACGTGCAGTTTAAGTTGCATGAAAAACATGGAGAACACCCGAGATCAGTATGCACTTTTTGGGTTCCATTCTGAGTTTGGGAAGGAATGTCTTTGCTCAGGTAAAGTTGGAGATGTTGTCAAAAATATACAATCAAAACATTAAATCAGTTTACAGTTATCCGTTTCTGCCAAGGAAAATTCCAAACTGACGTTTCTTTTGCTGCTTAGTATATAACAGTTACACTTCTTTCATATCAAATGAAACATGACATATTTCTTTAAAAACCGATGCACCCATAAATGAATCGAGCACTACTTAAAACAGCTCTTTTTTTATATCATAAATTTCCCACTGTAATATATCAATGTAAAAGGGAACTGTATTTCATATGAGGTGTTAATGTTATGTTATTGAAAAAATATATTTTAGTTTTTCGTCCTATCAGTGTTTTATGATAACTAACTGACACATACGAGGCAGGTGGTGTGACAACTCATTTAATAACGTCTTTGTCGGGTGTGACAAAATCACTTGGGCTAATGCAGACTCATGGAAGACTCTAGATGGTTGACAACAGCTTAACGTACTAAATGTCTGTCGAAGATTTCTCAGTTTGGCCCAACAGAGCGGACGTTAACGGCCGGTCAATGGGTACCGTTCACATTCAGTTCCACATGTGTGAGTATGATGCTCCCAACCAACACGCAAAGACCCGATAGTTAATCACGACCTAAAGTTTCGTAGACGATTTCATGAATATTTACTGGAAGATACATTTCCTTATTTCAGAGTAAATTACATTTTGTTTTTAGCAACTTTAAATGAGGCACAGTTTTTCCTTGGTGAACATAAACATTTTTCACTCGAAAGAACTATTCGTGAGCATACTTACACCCGCCTGTTCAACCATACAAGTGCTGACTTCACCCAAGTTGTCCACCACTAGACGAGGATTGAAGCAGTTGGTGTCTTTTGATTTATCACAAAGGGCGGCTCTGAGAACAGAGAAGGCAGCTACTTCTTAACAGCCTGTTCCGGATGTTCATTGCATTGTTATATTTCAATCCATAATTTTAAAATGTGTGCATTATGTTCTAGTACGTCACACAAAATATATAATTCATTATCGGAGGGGCGGTGGGGTAGCCTAGTGGTTAAAGCGTTGGCTCGTCACGCCGAAGACCCGGGTTCGATTCCCCACATGGGCACAATGTGTTAAGCCCATTTCTGGTGTCCCCCCGCCGTGATATTGCTGGAATATTGCTAAAAGCGGCGTAAATCTAAACTCAGTCAGTCAGTCAGTCATTATCGGAATATTTCTTAAAATATCCTTAACACGTGCCATAGTTAATGCGGTCCCTCGGCGCCAATATTGTTAAAGAATTGAGAGCATTTCGGACATTCCCCTCTATGTGATATATATTGAATGAGGACAATTGTATGGATATACAACTTCTTAATTCTGTATAGGCGACGTGTCCACATAGATTCTAATGTCGTTGTCAAGCAAGTGGATTAGCATCTATGTCGAAACGTCGCCTATACAGAATAAATAAGTTGTATATCCATCAAATTGTCCTCATTCTTCATATCCTCAACTTCTAGAATGCCAATCAAAGAAGTGATATATGTTGTTGGGATGTCTTATGAACACAAAGTGTCATTAATGGAGGCACATTTTCAAAACAATATAACATTTTGATATCTGTATACAATTTCAATGTGGATCGCCAATTTATCTTTCTGACTTTTCGTACTGTCAATTCGTATTTAAAACAAAATCACTGAATCCCTAAAGTGACATAGCAAGACAAAGTACAATATTTACTGCTCGATTCCAGTAATATTAAAGGGTTGTCCTGTCTTCACGGAGCAGTCCTGCCACTCTGTGCCAGATTCACACTGACATACGCCATCAGCGCATGTGCCATGCATGCTGCACAGATTAGGGCATGCCTTCGAGAGAATGCCAGGCGCTTGTAGTGTCCCATTGGCCGTCCTGTTGTAGTTGTCTATGTTGCTTGTCATTGATATCTCACACTGAGATTTGAAGTCATGGACAGCAGATGAGATAAACGTATAGTCGTCGCTTGCCTATTCGAAAGGGGGAAAGTATGGCTGTTACATAATATTACATACTTGAACACATGTTTTTATTGCTTTTAAGTAGATATGTGTGTTTTGACAATTTAGGAAATCGGAATTTGGAAGAACCTCATTGTCTTGTTCACCTGCGCTTTAGAAACAAACGACTGAGTAACCAATTAATATGTTCTTTTTTCGGTGGTTATGTATTTTATATATTTTCGACGATTAATTTCAATTTTTTTATTTTTTTTTGGGGGGGGGGATCTCCATACATCGAAGTGTTACAGGGAGTTCATTACATAACAGGTTGGTATAAGCACGATTCACAAATATATACATCGATTTACAGGCAATTCAGGTTGAAATGAATAGGTACATGAGAATATAATAGCAGGGCATTATATATACTGCCAGATTAACAGAACAGATTGTGACTTGCAATTTGAGTAGGCATTAAAACGTTATAATGTACTTTAAATTTGGTATTTTATCTCTTTGTTTCATTTTGTATATATCGTATTTCACTACTGTTGTTATAACATTCAGAACATGGTTTCTCATTTCGCGATATCCTAAAATAATATTTTTCTATGAAAAGATAATATTTGACCATGTTTTTTCGAATATCCATTCTTCTATTTTCTTCCAATAGTTTTTATGAATTTACAGTCACAAAGTAAATCTTTATACTTCATTTTTTTTAGTAAACCATTGGCAGAAACCTATGCGGTATACTGTATTGAAACCTAGAGTCTTTTACACTATTATACGGTTTAAAGGGGTTTTTTTCTATGGTATCCCATGTGTTATTGTCAATGGACTCATTAAGTTCTTTTCGCCACTTGTTTCGGTGTGTTAAGGTTTTCTAGGTTTTCCTTTGATGAGTATGTCATAAATATCTCTACATCCTTTTGTGCTTCCTACTATATTTCTTAAAAGATAGGGCAAAAGCAGAGATTGAAATTTCTCTTCAATATGGACGTTTATGGATTTGCATAAGTATTTAATTGACTTCTATTATTCCTTGACGCTCTAAGAAGTTAGTTTTGCACCCAAACGATGTTTTTAATTGTTCCACCCTTAAAAGGTTACCTTGTGTATCAAACATGTCGTTTATATAAGTAATCCTTTACTTGAGTAATGTTTATAATTGATTGGTTTTCCATCTATCTTTATATTGTCATTTAGCCATAAGGGTTGGGATAAGATACCACATGCATTTTTTGCGTTTTCTGCTTTTCTGGTTACGAATTTACACCATGATTTCAAAGTGTTTTTCCAAAAGTGATTTGTTTGTTGTGTTATAACTGATTCAAGTATGTGTGTTTCGCATGTTTGTATAAAGCTGTCGATGTAGCAATGTGGCTTGGTTTGTAGCAATTTCCTTGTTTTTTAATCGGAGTCTTTCAATCAATAATATTTTTTGTGATTGAATAAGATTTATTATCTCTGGGGCTCGTATTCCACCGTGTTCATAATTATTTGTGATAGTGTCTCGACTGACTTTGTCTGGTTTGTTTCTCCATATAACTTTATAGCAAAGCTGCTAAATTTCCTTAATCATTTGATCATTTTGGTTGGGTCGAGTTACAAATGAATGATTAAGTTGCGGTAAAAGTAAACTTTTCAATATGGTATTTCTACCTAAAGGAGTTAGATCTCTTGCTAACCATTGATTCATTGAAATTTTGAGAGTCTTGAGTTTATCTTTATAGTTGCGTTCAACCATGTCTGCGATGTTGCGAGTAAATACGATTCCTAATGGTGTAAACGAGTCATTCTTCCAGTCTAGATTCCAGTTTCTGCAAACACTTTCTTTTTTAATTATTTTCTGAGCCTATCCATAATACCTGTGTTTTGTTTACATTTATTTTTAAGCCTGAAAATGAGGCATATTTACTAAGAATTTCTAAAGTCGCCTGTAAACATTTTTCAGTGCCATCTAATATTAATGAAGTATCATCAGCGTATTGGGAAATTAGGTATTCTGTATCTTCAATTTGTTTTCCTTTCATTTTGTTATTATTTTTAATCTTTGTTGCCAAAATTTATGCGCACAGTATAAATATACGAAGGGAGATGGGATCTCCTTGTCTGCATTATCTTGAGATATCGAAATAATTTGAAAGGGAAACCATTTACAACTACACATGAATTGAATGTTATTAAAGAAGGTATTTATCCATCTAGTAATCGATGGTCCAAAGTTAAAGAATAGGAGAACTTGTTGAATGAATTGCCAGTGAATAGAATCGAATGCCTTTTCAAAGTCGATAAGAAGTAGAATTCCAGGTATATTCATATACTCAGTATATTCAATCTTATCTTTTTGACATAAATCCTTTTTGATCCTCATTTATTGTAGAAGGTAGTACTGTTTTTATTCTGTTTGCAGTAGTTGATGATCCGATTTTATATGCTATATTCAGCAATGAAATGGGTCTCCAATTCTGAAGCAAATGTTTTAATTTACCTTTTTGGGGGAAGATAATATGGTGGATTTTTATTTCGGTGGCTGTGTATTTTATATATTTTCGACGATTAATTTCAGTTATGTGTACAAGAACTCTTTCCAGTAATGTAAAAATGAACTCACGCGCACTCACGCATATGGGGCTATTGTCCAGTGAACTACCAAGTTCAGTAATGTTCAAACTTATTCGAGAAGTGCATTATATCCCTTCCTTCAGAAACATGTGTATACATTACCTGAATGTCTTCAGCACAAGAGAGTACAAAGGTGTCGATGTTGAGATCTTTCAACGAGGAACACTGATGGTGTGTATATTTAGATATCGCCGTTCTACATTTATCCCTAGCCAGCTTCTCCGTGATACCGCTTGGAGTTGGCCAGTGGTGCTCAGGTGGACTGTAGTCTGGAAAGGTGACACATTTCCGTAACACTACATATTTACATTACATACCACAGTGATCACAACAGCTCCCCAGCAATATATACTTGGTGTAATTGACAGTGTAGCCAGGTTTGGTGACTTGTTCGTGTCACCGTGACCTCACCACATGGACTGTTGCTTGTGTTATCAGTCACTTGTTCAGACTGAACAGACTCGATTATTTACAAGCTGCCGTTACATAGCTAGACTATAACTGACTGAAGGGTTAACCAAACACGACTACGCGAGTAGGACTCTCGCTGTGTTATTGATCCTAGATCCAACTGCAATACTGCAACAGTGTCATCAGCCAAACCACATACAAAGGAAGTACGAAGTATTTTGTTTTGGTGAAGCTTAAGCCAGCTCGAGGCAGTACCATATGTTTGTTTACACATTTTGACTGATTAAAATGTTAAAATGCAACTAATGTATTTCTCTTACGTGTTGGATCAAGGTGTGAAGGTTGCGCTATCTTAGCGTCTGGCTTCATCTGTGCAGGAACTATTGGTCGACAGGATCCACGCTAAAGCAAATAAAATCAGGTTGCACCTATCACACTTTCTCCTTCTCAGTGTAATTTGGGATATATTTCCATAAAACGTTTCAACGACTGCTTTTATTTCCTGATATCACGTTTGAAATACTACCCTTTGGAAACAAGATTGCAGTTTATGACACGTTGTAATTAATTATTTATGCTTTTCTTAATCCTTCAATCAGTACGACTTCTTTCCATGGCACCACTTTTCACTGTACCTGAGGTGATGCTGGTAACGCACGTTACCAACATGGCGGCAGGTAAGATCGCTTGGCGATTATTCCCCTCGAATTAGCAGTCCCTAAAGTAGAATGAGTACTATTTTTATGGATATACAACTTCTTTATTCTATATAGGCGACGTTTCGACATGGTTTCTAATGTCGTTGTCACTTAGTCTGTTGATGGCTGTGACTGCCACGTCTCCATGAAGACGACGTATGACGCACTTTAGAAGTTGGGTAGATGAAGAATGAGGGCTATTTTTATCGATATACAACTTCTTTATTCTATATAGGCGACGTTCTATATAATTATATATAATGACAACGACATTAGAATCTATGTCGAAACGTCGCCTATATAGAATAAAGAAGTTGTACATCCATAAAATAGTCCTCATTCTTCATCTACCCAACTTCTAGAATGCCAATCATAGAAGCCCCTAAAGTAGGTTGACAGACTATATAGCATTATATATTCAGCTCTACCCAATAACTGCACGATGTAAAATGTACATTAAACGTCAACACTGCAACGAAATTAACATGTCAAATGTCCGAATTGAGGAAGTACAGATAAAAAGCTGTCAGCAAAATAGACAATGGGCACACAAATCCGCTCTCAAGTTCTATGAAACGCCACATAAATAGTGCGATTTAACACACCCTGCTTCAAGACAAGCAACAACTCTCCGGCGCAAAGAAAAAGTCGCTCATACTGTCAATGTAGCAGTAGTACACATCTGTGTAAAACAAAGAATTGATATTAGTATCTCCTTTGTATTTGAACATAACTCGATAATTTCTGTTAACCGACTAAAGCAGGACAGTATGAGTTACCAGCATCATTCATTGCACGTTACCGACAACTAGACTTTGAGTTATCAGCATCCTCGCGCGATTTTGAAAAATGCTTATTCTTCAATCATAGGCATTACTGAGCAAATTCAGTGCATTCAATGTATTCCCACCATCAAAGTTTTTTAGTGTGCTAAATAATGTTGATTGTATACACGTGGAAGACTGCTAATTCGAGGGGAATAATCGCCAAGCGATCTTACCTGCCGCTAAGCATCACCTTAGGTACAGTGACTTCTGGTCACCTTGTGCACATGCATTAGTAGGACCAGAGACCATGCATATGGTCTCTGGTGGGACAGCATATTTAAATGTATGGTTCTATCACTTTAGAATTGTGAAGACGTGAGTAGACCATCACCGTTGTGATCCCTACAAAACCTATCACACATACGGTGCGTGGCCCTTGGAGGTAACGGTGACCCTCAGATTACTGCAATGGTCCTTTTGCTTCAGATTTAAGCTTAGTGAGTATTGACTGAAAGAGACGCCGTGACGATGCGCCCGGCAATCCTTTCTTATGCCCATGGTAAATTATGCTCAGTTAAGTGAGTTGAACGTTTAGTAGAACCGTATGACAATGCGCTGAAATACCTGAACATTTGGGTCTGTGACCTTCTGCCCTCTTCCACAGTCCTGTTTCTCTCTCACACAGGAACAATACATACCATTGTTCACAGATGGTGAGACCATTTTAACCCGATGGCCTTCGAACAAATTCTGGTCTGGCTGGACCCTGTTGGTATTGATTGAATTTGTGAAGCGGCAGAAGACGGACATAGGTGGAATCATTGTTTGCCATTTGTGTACAGATCAAGTCCAAAAATAGTTTGCATTCAAGCAATGATGAAGTCGTAGAAATCAAATATGTTTCGGAGATAAAGTAAGTGAATGACGCATCCCTTTAAAACTGCGAGAAACGATAGTGTAAAACAAATCATCATTTTAACAAGCAGCCTCTACCTTCGCGTAAGTTGAGGATGTAGCAATACCATATGTCAATAGACTCAGAGCAAAGGGAGAGCGGAAGGTCGTGGGTTCGATCCCCGACCGCGTCATACCAAAAGACGTTAAAATAAGGTACTTATTGGTCCCTGCCTGGCGCTCGGCATTAATGGGTACAACAAGGACTGGTCGGCTCGGAGTCAGTATAATGTGTCTGAGTGGGGTATTCATGCTTCACTGTGGCATGGTATCTCAGTGTGCTAGCACTATAAAACCAGCTTCAGTCTTGGCTAGTACAAGCAGCCGCACATACACAAACACACGCATGCACGTCGTCATATGAGCGAAATATTCTCAAGCACGACGTTAAACCCAATTTCACCTCACCTCACCTCAGAGCAAAGATCAAAGGAATCTAATTGTGAAACAAAGTGATGAACCCACCTGAAGTATCCGACTGTGGAACCTGCAATGACTCCACCAGTCCTGAACGTGGCCATACCGTTTACTCTGACGCTTGGATTGCACACTTCCTGATATGTCGTTTTGTTGTTTACGTCAAACGCCTCCAGCGGAACAACGCCATGGGGGAAGGTTATAGTCACCGTGTACATGGAGGACTGTGCAATGACGCTTATTCTGTGTCCAAGGTCTGTTGTAATCTGAAAATAAAAAACAATCCAACTGCATAATTATATAACCGTGAACATTGCAATTTATCATCCCAAACTGTGCTCCACAGGAGATATTACTTGTGTGAGATCAAACGAAATCTCCAAGAAGATATCGTTTTGACAGTAAATTTTGTACAATGCCCTGACGTCATCAATTATACATGATTCACAAGGCTATGGCGTCAAAAGCCCGAAGTGGTCACAATGCTATGACATTGCTGCACTGCAAGTCTAATGGCAGTACCATGGTCCGAAAATGTACATTTTCATATTTATATATAACCGTGAACATTGCAACATATTCTGAAAAACATACGTTGATTAAGTACCAGAGAGAAACATATGTACCTGATATTCGTTGCTGCCGCAAACTTGTACTGAACCGTCAGTTATGACGTGGTTTGCTCTGATAGAGGGGACGGACCTCTGGCAACTATCGATGAAGATGACATCATCACCTTTTTGCACAGCAACAGCGCAAATCATAGGGAGTCCCGTTCCAGTATAAACAGACATACGGGCTTGTACCTGAAACAGGAGATCGATGTGATTACTTTAGTTTTCATACATACATATTCATATCATTTCAATATATATACCATTACTGATAGAATGGACATGCAGGCCTGGAGTTTGGTGCAAACAACTGATAGGTGGTTTAGGGCGAATTAACCAAAAGTATCAAGGTGTCTGTAGTTATGTAAATTTTAGATATCTGCACATCCTCTGACTATTTTGATATAAAGGATGTAGATCTATTTCATATAAAATGCATATTTATATAGCACGGAATATATAGCCAAGGAATACCGCAAGCTGAGCTCTGGTGTCACTGGCAAAGTTGAAGTCGCCAAGATGGTACAGGTTGTAGTAGGTGACCCTGTAACATTGTTACATACAGGATAAGTGCCTAATAATACATATACATATGCAACGTCAGTGGAAAAGAATAACCAGTTCTGACTGTCCTCAGAAACGGATTCTTTGGATGTGAAGCTAACAACAACTATGACAAATGTATGCATGGATCACTGAAAATCAGCCCTCCCTCTTTAAACGGCCATGTGTAGAGCTGGGTTCTTTCAAATGAATCTTTATACACAGAACTAAATATGAAAACACATGAAGCGTCACCCTGGTCTCCTCGTTTCAAGTTTCAGGTTTGTAAATCAGTGGAAGCGAATGTGCTATATTGACTATTTCATTGCTATTAATTGAATGTGAAACAAAGTTTGAAGTCCATCTCTTCACTTACCCAAGTTCATGGAAAATGCCAGGGTTGAAGGAGGACGTGAAATGAGGGTCTCCTGATCCCACGCAAGTGGAGAATCTGGTATCCGTGTTCAATACCTATATAATCAGTGATATGTTTCGTTTACACCTTGGGCATTTTGATTAAAACAAATAACCATATGGATATAATGAAATATTAATGGTTACAAAATACAGAAGAAATATGTTTAAAAACTTTTCAGAAGCATGCTGTAATGACAAATTATAACTATGAGTCTGCTGTCGCTTTTGTCTTCTTCCAAGCAACATTTACACTTGTTATGTCAACCGAGTTTCATTTGTATCTTACTATCAGAACTTTACTGTCTGGTCATGATGACCTCTGCTACACCTTTCTCTAACCTGACACGACGATAAACAAGTGTCCACATCAAGATAACAGGCGAATTCTATTTTACTTCGAATAATATATAACGCAATCAAATTCTGGAAACCCAAACGCACTGTGGCCAGTTTCTGACAAAGGATTTGACAAAATTCTATGTGCAGTTATCATCAACATATGATCAGGATGAAAAATTGAAAAATGTTGTTTTTTTAAACTCAAATTTAACCTACCTCGCCCATGGGCGAGAATATTTACATTTGCTCAATTGAATCATTTTCCATATTTTAGAGGTTGTAAATGATTGACATTATGTTTATAAGTATCATGCCACAATATTTAACTACTTTTTTGTGTTAATTGTGCTAATATAATTATATATTTACTTGCAAGTACTGATGTACCCAGTGTGAACACATTACTTGACATCACTGACCTTTCATTAAGTATTCAGAAATTAATGTCGTTGTTACTTCTACCTGACGGTTTTCATTTACCTTACCCCATGCCAAATACATTGTAGGACCATTCAGGTAAGACATGTGTAAGCCCTCACCTTGGTTGGCGGTATCGTGATGCCGCTCCAGTACTCGAGTCCAGGTACGTTGTTTGACATGGTGGCAAACGATATTGACAGTGTTTGCGCTGGTTTAACAGCAGGATCTACTTGTGTTCCAAGACTCAGGTTAAATCGTGATTCGTGTAAGTCTTCGTCCCAGTTGGAGGCTGTCAACACTAACTGACATTCGCCCCCGATGAACAAACCTAAACAGAAGGTTGGGCATACTCCAAGGTGGTTTCCAAACATATAAATGTGTCCGAGGTTTGATATTCAAGGAAGCCAATTAGAATTGAGGAATTATGTAAGCTTTACGTGTAAGAAAAGCCCGAAGGTGTTTTGGTCGGGTATATATGAAGCTCGAATAAAGACCAGTATCTCCAGACAAGTGATGTAATGACGAAGCTCGAATAAAGACCAGTATCTCCAGACAAGTGATGTAATGACGAAGCTCGAATAAAGACCAGTATCTCCAGACAAGTGATGTAATGACGAAGCTCGAATAAAGACCAGCATCTCCAGACAAGTGATGTAATGACGAAGCTCGAATAAAGACCAGTATCTCCAGACAAGTGATGTAATGACGAAGCTCGAATAAAGACCAGTATCTCCAGACAAGTGATGTAATGACGAAGCTCGAATAAAGACCAGTATCTCCAGACAAGTGATGTAATGACGAAGCTCGAATAGAGACCAGTATCTCCAGACAAGTGATGTAATGACGTATGATGATGTCAAGTTGACGAGAGCAAAAGTTTACCTGGGGCAACTGTTTCCAGAACAACTTTACAAGAGTCACTTGTTGCATTGTCGCATACCACTGGCAGTGTCGAGATAACTGTGATGGTTTGGTCGACTCCTTCGCGAAGAGTCAGCGGTGATGGTTCAACCTAAACACAAGCATCAATAAACGAACATGCCAAACTAAGACACCCCATGTTGGATGGATATAGGACAACAATGTTACATGCATGCATACACTGTACATCACATGTGAAATCAGGGATAGACTTGGTCTTCCGTAACCCATGCTAAGGCGACTAACGGGATCGGGTGGTCAGTCTCGCTGACTTGTTTGACACACGTCATCGGTTCCCAATTACGTAGATCGATACTCATGATGTTGATCACTGGATTGTCTGTCCCAGACCCGATTATTTGCAGACCGTCAACACATAGCTGGTATATTGCAGAGTGTGGCGTTGAACAACAAACCAACTAACATGTGAATTCGCTGGGCTATGAACAGTTTTGACTACCCCATAGAACGTCTACAGGAATATAATATAGTTATTACAGTAAGTTAATGCAGAACCATTACACTGACCTTTATTCCGCCGAAGTACTTGGTGCTGTGGAACTCGGTACTTAGCACGGAAGACGTGTTTTCGAAGTACGACTGAACTGAACATCCAAGCTGCAATGAAGACGTGGTGTGGCGATTATGCTATTATACACAGATATGTGTTCTGCCTACACCAGGATATAGTTCTCTTGCTCGACTTTGTATAATGGTTAATTTTCTTTACTGAAAGGAAATTGGTGACAGGTTGTGTTTAACTATTTCTTCACAAATGTTTTCTTCAATATGCATCAGTTGGCATTGACACATTAATCATGTGCATCCCCCTGTCCTGTGGAACGCGTAAAGATCCAGGTTAGAATTGGTCTTCAGCAACCCATGCTTGTCGGCGACCAAAGTGTCATTAACAAGATCAATTTGCTCCTTGAGTAAAATACTCCAGGAGTAAATATACTTTTACTTTACCTCTGGAGCTGGTGAAAATTTACTCCAGGAGTATAAAAACTTCCGTGAGTAAATTCGTTTTGTGACCTTTACATGGTCAATGTACTTACCATAAGTAAATTTACTTACATAAGCAAATATACTTCTGTAATTAAATGTGTGCATGCAAAGGAGCTATATAACAGATCGGGTGGTCAGACTCGCTGACTTACAATTGGTTGACACAGGTCATCGTATCCCATCTGTACAGATCCATGCTCATGACTCGATTCTTTACAGACCGCCGCCATAAATTGCTGAATGAGGCATTAACAACCGACAAACAATCTTACGTCTGGCTTTAACTACACTCGAGAGAACTAGTAGTTAACTAACTGATAGAGACCTCATGATCTTACATTCTCATTGACATGACCAGTCCACATTTTCACATCGAAGAAGCTGGTTCTGTTGCCTCCATGTTGAGTCACATTTTGAACGACGACGTTATTCATAAGCCATTTGACAAGGAATCGTGCATCACTGGAATTATCGCCACTCTCAAATGTACACGTGTGCTGGTATGACCCATCTATTTCTTCTGGACCAGTGAGTAGAGTCCGTCCAGTAATAACAGGGTACATATCTGAAATACATTAACAATATGTTGCTGACATATTTCAACCATATCCCTCAAGCATACTCATTATATTCTACTGGCTACACATAACGTGTAGGATAGGTAGACTTTACAGGTTTTGATAGAACAGTTCGGAGGTAACAACAGGAACTGTCTTCCATCATGACCCCAGACGTGTACAAATATGCAGCAAGACTTCATAATGTGATGACAACCGAGCTATCACGATAAGTGAGTGAGTGAGTGATTTTAGGTTTACGCCGCTTTTAGCAATATGCCAGCAACATCACGGCACGGGAACCAGAAATGGGCTTCACACATTGTACCCCTGTGGGGAACCAAACCCGGGTCTTAGGTGTAACAAGCGAACGCTTTAACCACTAGACTACCCCACCGCCCCTATACAGATACATAGATCGGACACAGATAGGTTTCCAGTTAATAGTTTGGTAGATTAATCTGTTTCATGCCAGTAACAGTCGTACCTCTACATGGCTTGAACCCAGATGGTGACGTCTTTCCAGGTGGACACGGTATTTCTGTAAATCAGTCACCAAGAAAGTTAAATTCAAAATGTGATAATAATACAGCAATTAACGAATATGAAGAGCAAACCCATTAACTATTCAAATAGAGAGATATCTTATTTGCCAACTGCTATAGCTAACGCATGTATTATTTGAAGTAAATGCCTACTTGTACAAGGTGGAAATCCACTCCCAGATAGTTCATATTCACTGCAAGGTTTAATGGACGCATCTGAAAGAAGAAAACAATTAAAGAAGCAGCCAAAATGTTGCAAGCCATGACAGACAAATCAAACATTTACAAGTAGTTTGGATATCATGGTGACTATGATATCACGTGTCAAATTATTTAAGTCATTCCTGTATCATTCAAGGTTTAATGGATGCATTAAGTAACAGAAAGTAGCAGACCTTGTCAGACAGCTCAAATATATGACTAATTTAGAAATAGAATGTTTGATGCCTTTAAACTTCTTACATATACGAGGGGCTACAAAAAAATGAGCCTAAATTACTTCTGATATGTGCATGATAAAAATAACTGTATGATAAAACGAATGTTTATATCATTCACATTAACGTAATATTGATATTGGCGCTAGTTTTCGGTCACGTGGCAGCTAATCACACGTACCCATATTGACACGACAGAATGGATAAGCTTGAGTACAGAGCAGTCACAAAGTTTTTGGTCCTCGAGGGCCACTCGGCGAAGCACATTAAAGAGCGATTGACAGCAGCAAGAGTACTGAGTCCCATTGGGTACTCGTAGTTTTAGGGATTTGACGTTAGTAACATCACTCTCAAATCCCCAATGTAATGCAGTTGCCTAATTAAAAAATACAGAAAGGTTTAAGGAAAGTCGTGATCAGTACAGGACTGTAATTAACACCGGAACAATCTGTTCTCTAGCGTCCTGAGTGACAGATCGTCGCACCGCTCCACAAAGCGTTCGTAGCTCTACGTCATTCATAATCCTGTGATAAACAATATAGTTACGACAGCTCGTAACGCTACGATCGGCAGGGGTCCATGATATTAATGGTAGAAACTTTGGGCAAGCCCTCAATGCTATCCTAAATATAAAGCTTTGCGACCTATCGGGCTTACACGAAAAAAATGGCTTGCTACGCGCCTGATCGGGAACCTGGTTATTTCATCAATTTACATCACACAGTCGCCATTTATCATATTCACTATAATCACATGTTTCAGGTTCGATGATTATTTGACGGCAAATTAGTCCCTTGTTCAGAACAATACAGCTATATACGAATTACCCTTGTAGCGTATAGATAATAGATCAGACTATAATCCAAATTTAACAGCACCCTTTTGCCATGGGATGATGCACCTAAATACAGTTTTCTTCAAAGATAAATACCTCCAAAAACCTTCACCTATTAATTAATTAGATGGTCTTTGGACTAGAACTATTATTATTTTATCAAACTTGACGCAAAGATAAGAAGTATGACAATACAGAATGGCATATGATGATGAGAACCGTTCACAGATATTGAATTATGTAGTGTCTATCATAACATACGTTTTGATTTTACATGAATTACCGCAAATTCAAGCTATGCATGAAACTTTTAAGTGTTGAAAGTCAGTTGTCATCACGCGAGAAAGTTCTATCTCTCGTCAATACCAGGTAACTTCAATTTCATTCCATGATGTGTCAGAAGAATACCAAATGGGTATGAAGGAGGTATATTTGGTATGAAATCTGCTGGAAAAAAAACAATACAGGCAGCCTCGCCCAAATACCTGTACAAATCGCCATGGGACAGAGAATTGTCTCCAAGGGCAGATGATACACCATGAACTCTCCTCTACAGTTCTTCACGGGCACCTGCTCTGACCACAGACATCCATTCGGCGTCAAGTCAAGATGGTTGAAACAAAACTTCTTTTCTGCAATGCCGTCCTCAACGGAAGGGAACTTGTCATTCATCCAGATTGTTGACTTGGTACCACAATGGTATTTATGGACGCTGGAGATTGCTACCTCACCCTCGGAGAATCTGTACCAGCCAGGCTGTAACTGGTCATCACAGAGAAACGCGGATGACTTATTTGTTCCCAGATTGGTATCTCGTAGTCCCTCTAGAAGTGTGGAGTAGTTCGTGCATGGGTCCGCTGCAAAGTTGTAGTTTCGTAAATGAAAAATAGTATACTACTGGAGAGTGTAGCATTATTTTATAAGACGTTTGCCTGTAACTAGTTTTCCACTGCATACATTGCTGGTATCCCAGTTGATCAGAGTACCTTATCTAAGGTATTTTCCGACAATTGCTTCTCCTGGGAACCGTTTAAGTGATAGAACTTTTAAAGTTCCAAATATGTAGTCAAACGCTTTATGCTGAAACGATTTCGTTTACACGGGATAAGGTAAATGTAACTGGTTTCAATATTAAACAAACATTGCTCACCATCTACTGTCACTGCTGGCGTTGCCCTTGATGTTGATGGTTCTGTCGGCACTGTTTTCACCACTATACCTGTAACCATGATATGTGTATGTCTAGAATCCCTCAATTGCCATCCCTTATGAGATGCTGAGCTTGGTTATTTCTACAACCGTTTTCACGACCTTCCTATGTATGTCTTTAATCTGTTCATTAGTTATGGGATGCTGGTCCCATGATCTCAGTTGTTAATTTCTACAACCTTTTCACCACTATACCTGTAACCATGATATGTGTTTGTCTAGAATCCCTCAATTGCCATCCCTTATGAGATGCTGAGCTTGGTTGTTTCTACAACCGTTTTCACGACTTTCCTTTGTATGTCTATAATCTGTTCATTAGTTATGGGATGCTGGTCCCATGATCTCAGTTGTTAATTTCTACAACCTTTTCACCACTATACCTGTAACCATGATATGTGTTTGTCTAGAATCCCTCAATTGCCATCCCTTATGAGATGCTGAGCTTGGTTGTTTCTACAACCGTTTTCACGACTTTCCTTTGTATGTCTATAATCTGTTCATTAGTTATGGGATGCTGGTCCCACATTTCCACAACCTTTACATAGATGGCCTGGGTTTCCTCTGTTTTCTCATCCAGGAGTTTCCACGCCACATCTCTAATGTCTATTAATTAGCCAGTGGGATTAATACTTGTCCTGATTCAGTTGAAATGACAAATGTTTGTACAAACGTAATGAATCAAAAACACTAATGTAAAATTGCTGTGGTTAATACTAATACGAAATTAAGTTACCTTCCTTGATGCATATAAATTGTAAAGTTGAGCTGCAGCCGAGATCATTCCAAAAGCCAGGTGATCCGAAGTTTACCTGTACGCAGTCCTCGGCCGGAGACATATTATCCGGTTCATCTAGCAAAAGGCATGAGCAGATCTTACAAATTTGTGACTAAACAAGAGAGAGAGAGAGAGAGAGAGAGAGAGAGAGAGAGAGAGAGAGAGAGAGAGAGAGAGAGAGAGAGAGAGAGAGAGAGAGAGAGAGAGAGAGAGAGAGAGAGAGAGAGAGAGAGAGAGAGAGAGAGAGAGAGAGAGAGAGACCGTAGCTATTGTATATTTAAGCTGAACAAAACAGTTGTTTTGCATATAATCATAATAATGTCCACTTGTATGGCGCCGTTTCCACACACTAGTGTATGCTCATGGTGCCCCGTGTGTAAAGCTAAAAAAAACTGCAGCAATTGCACAAGTCATTCGTAATATTTCTTCAATGAGGATTTGAATAAGTCAAGAGTTTTGCTGTTTTGATGGTTATGGGAAGACTGTTCCACAGTGAAGGAGCAGCATAGCTGAATGATCTGTGACCATAGTTCTTGAGACTGACAGGGGGTGTTGTTAGGAGGAACTGTTGATGTGATCTCAGCTGTCGTGGTGGTGTGTACACTGAGATGAGTTCAGAGAGGTACTGAGGCGCTAGGTCATGTAGACATTGGAACACAATGGTCAAGATCTTGAATTCGATTCTGGCTCATATATACAGATATGTCTACACATATTTATACAGTTTAGTTCAGAACATAATGTACAGATGCTACAATTTTGAACAAAGAAACTTTTTTAAAAACATGAAAAAAAATTGTCAAACGTAGAAGGAAAACATAATATTTTATGCAAAAATGGATATTACATAAATGGAGTCATGTTACCTTCAGAAAGCAAGAAAATGCAATGGAGAGCATCTAATTTAAAAAAATTCCAGGTGGTGCATAACCCTCATTCCACCCAAGATCCTCGGCCTCGAACGTGGATACTACCACCCCAACCCCCTAGACCCACATTAAGAAAAGTTAACTACGGCCCTGGAGAGAGAGAGAGAGAGAAGGGGGGAGGGGCAACATTACCGGGTCCCCAACGGGCGAAATTTAGAGGTGAACCATCAGTCCAGCTGTAAACTCCTTCTCGGCTCAAGTCGTTAAGTCCAATCCATGCTGTTCCTTGAGTGACTGAAGCTGAAATATCGATGTCTCACATCAGCAATATGTGTTTTCGATAATGATGGCATTTATCACTGTCGTTACTTAGGGTAGTGCCTGAATTGTGCTTGAAAAGTGCCTGAATCGTGCTTGAACAGTGAATGAATAGTGCTTGAACAGTAATTGAATAGTACAAAAATAGTGAATGAATAGTGCTTGACAAGAGAATGAATAGTGCCTAAACAGTGAATTAATGGTGCTAAAAAAGTGAATGAATAGTGCCTGAATATGTTTCTCGTGCTTGCTAGTTAGCAATTTTATTAAAGAAATTAAAGTAAAGTAAAGTCCATGACATGTAATCAGACACACGAGAATATATGAGATAGATGTTATCCGGCTCTGAAGTGCCGTTATTGTACCACCCTGATGTATATCCCGAAGTTGAGAATTGTTTTATTTGTTGACGACAAAAACTTGGGAGCAATATGCCCGCATATTTTGTTATTTTGTTTGTAATTGAATGGATATGTACTTGAAATATATGTGTTCTCTTCGTCACTGTGGATGCTTAGCAGATCTGCTCCCTGTCGTCGGCAGTCCGATAAAGCATCTGGCCATGACTTGACCGTATTGCTTAGAAAATAGCACCTGTCTGCCTCATTGTAGTAGGGTAGCCAGCCATCGGGGCAGTTTCCTGTCGGGATATAGGAGTAGGGTTAAAACTGCGAATGACCAAACGGAGATGTTGATTCTGTGCTTTTCGAATATTTGCCTGGTTTCAATCAAACGTTTTAATTTTAAAATATTTATATAATATTACTGGCCAAGTTGAATTTCAGACTGAGACATTAGATATGCAAATTTGAGCGAGGGAATCTCTAATAAGAAAAGACAGCTTAAACTCACCTTGTTCGGGGCTTGGTGTGGTATCTGTGTGAAAAGAAAACACTCATATGTACCGTATTGAAAGATATTCACATGTCTCCATTATCTGTTTTGATACTACGATCGTAACGAACATGGTTATAACGAACCGACGGATGTAACGAACTGGGCTGTTTTGTCCTGGTCACTTACTGTACAGTAGACTACGGTCATAACGAACTCAAAGGAACCACTCATTTTAGTTCGTTATAACCGTAGTTAGTTTTACGCCTTTCGACTAAAATATATAGTCATTGGCGGGGACAAAGAAAACAGTTCGTTATATCCGTCAGTTCGTTAGAAGTGTGTTCGTTATAAACTTAGTATATTGATTTATTTTAGTCGAGCTGCGTATAACGAAATACGATTATAACGAACATAAATGGATGGTCTCTTTTTGTTATAGCCGGCGTATTTTACGGTATTTTTGTCGGCGTGACATACTAAAGCTTCAACCACAGGGCTACCCCACCGCCCCTATTGAGAAGATATTACGCGAACACCTAACAGTTAACGTCGCCTAGAAGTGTCCGTTATGACAGCCAATGATTTGTTTGACACCGACTATATAATTTTACAAACAGGCGTCGTATTGTTGTAAACTGGCCGAGAACCGTGATGAACAACGACCAAACAAACATGCCACATGGTAGCTCATTAACAACACTCATTTAAGTACCTTTATCACGAACATGCTTAAAACGATCTGGCAGATATTACGATATAGGGCGCCGTTTCACAAAGCTGTCGTAAGCCTAAGATCTCGTAACTGTTCTTGTAGCATTCGTATCTCCTATACTGTAACATAGACTTACGACAGTCGTAGCGCTACGATAGCTTTGTGAAACGTTGCCCGAGGTTTTTTGGTCCACTAACAGTATATTTCAATCGAAATGCGCACAACGAACTAAAATGAGTGTATGTTTGATAGGCATTTAAATGTTGGTAGGGTAATACAACACACTTGATATGGATGTGCAACTTCTTTATTATTTACACACCTTGATATGGATGTGCAAATTCTTTATTATTTACACACCTTGATATGGATCTGCAACTTCTTTATTATTTACACACCTTGATATGGATCTGCAACTTCTTTATTATTTACACACCTTGATATGGATCTGCAACTTCTTTATTATTTACACACCTTGATGTGGATCTGCAACTTCTTTATTATTTACACACTTTGATTTGGATGTGCAACTTCTTTATTATACACACCTTGATATGGATGAGCAACTTCTTTATTATTTACACACCTTGATATGGATCTGCAACTTCTTTATTATTTACACACTTTGATTTGGATGTGCAACTTCCTTATTATACACACCTTGATATGGATGAGCAACTTCTTTATTATTTACACATCTTGATATGGATGTGCAACTTGTTTATTATACACACCTTGATATGGATGTGCAACTTCTTTATTATTTACACACAAAAATGAGTGGGCTTTTGAGTAACTTTTTATAACTGTAGTTCATGCTTACCCTTTTCGCGAACACCTGGTGTCATCACTGATGTTCAGTGATCGTTTCAAATAATTTTTCACAGCTATATTCCCCTTTACACCAAACGGAATTAGTTCTGAGGATAGTCAAGACTGGTATATTTTTGCCCTCACGTTCTATATTTACACCATAGGTCGATCAAACTTCGATGATCGAATGGTATAGGTGCATACTTACTTGCAGCACTTGGAGTACCTGCAGTGCACAAGGCGTGGAAGATCCACAACAACGCTGTGAGGAGTGGCATTTCCAACTGAATACCTTGATCTGCTGTGCCACAAGCTTATATAACCCGCAGCCAGGGGTCAATGGCAAGATGATTATTCCCATGCTCGTGTACCAGAAAACACAACAAGGATTTTGTTTTATCTTTATATCTCTGTCGCAAATGCTTAACCATCAACATGACCACAACTAAAATGTTTGGAGGTCGATCACGTATGCGTTTAAATTAATAGCATGTCACCGGCACTGCACTGACATTTTTTGAAATGCACTTGCTGTCTGTTTGTATAACCGTTTAGGTCTGAAGTAATTATTTTTGTCTAGTTTATAATAGAGAGTGAAAACTGACATTATCTATAGGGCGAAGGAAATATGTGAAGACACAATGTCACGAATACACAATGACATTAAACAGTGGTTACATGTAACAAGACAGTTAAAACGTAACAACCACTTAATCATTCACAATAAACGTTCGGAATGAGGTAATGCGCCATAACTGGCTTTCTGATAAAGTCAGAAGTCGTGAAGATCCGGGTTAGAATTGATCTCATTCGACTAACGGCATCGGGTGGTAGGCTCGCCGAATTGGTTGACACGTCATCGCATCCAAAATGCGTAGATCGATGCTCATGATGTTGATCACTGGATTGTCTAATCCAGACTCGATTAATTACAGACCGCCGTCATATAGCAGGAATATTGCTGAGTGCGGCGTAAAACAACAAACCAACCAAAACTAAAGTCAGCTGAAACAGATGCCAGCACGCACGTACATTTGCCTATCACAGACAAAATCCGTGCACTTGGACAGACAAGCACATGATATACAGTCTATATATAGTCGGATTTATACTGAAGGAGGTTGGTACCTGGAGGTGTTTTACTTTTAAGCCTTGTAAGTATAGTTCGGTTCATAATTATTGAGAATTTTTCATGTCAGTTTGAACTCCTAGGTAATTTCATGAGCTCCACTGATAATGAAATTCTGCTATCAGTCCAAGTCTTCTTGTCTTTCCAGACATGTCAGATAAGAGTTACCTCCCCTGAATTTGTCGGTAGGACTCACCTCCCTTGGCTAAGGAGCGGTGGCACAGCCTATAATTCGATTATGGCATCCTGGTGTAGAGGCAATGGGTGGATGTTATCCTGTTTCAGGTAGAACTGATAATCAAAGGATGACGCAGCTGGTGTTAGATCCCATCTCGACAATAAAGCCCTCGGAAGGACCTTCTGGACCCGTGAATCATGTCTGCCTTAATCGTCATCCTTCTGCCACAACCAAACTTGCCATTCTATACTATGGCACACTGCTGGTAGGGCTTATAAGCACACCAACTCAGCAGCCGCAAGGACATGTGAGAAGGAACCCATGTTAGTCACGGAACCGGTTCTGATGCAAAGGACATCATTGCATGCTTTAGACTTGTGTAAAGCCCATTTCTGGTGCCCATATACTGACCAATTTGGCATAAAGATGGTTGAAAAAAAATATCTGCAAAGCCGTCCTCAAAAGAAAAATGTCATTTATTCAGATCGTTGACTTGGAACCACAATGGAATTATGGTCACTGTAGGTGCTACCTCACCCCCGGAGAATCTGTACCAGCCAGGTTGCAACTGGTGACCACAGTTAAACCACTAGGGAAAGTTATGTCCATTGTTCTTGGAAGAGTTTTATTAGCGTAACTGAACAACTGCCCTAGGGCAATTATTTCTATCTAAAAACAATAAAATTGTACTCATTTTGATAATCTTCATCATGCCTAATACATTACACACGTATTAAACAAGTACGCCCTCGTGGTGTAAACCGTTTAATCACCCTCACTACGGTAGTTATTTAAATAACTACCTTGTAAAGGTGATTAACCTATACATAATATGATAAAAAGGGAATGGAGACAGTGAAAACCACTGAAAGCTTTCCCGTTATTATTTTAGATCCTATGCATTGCTAGTTTCCCTTATTGACTCACTTATACCCAGATGTGTATCGCGTGGTCTTTTAGAGCGAAGCTGCCCGTGTTCGGGGTCAGGTGTTTGTTTGGTTCTTGGATGGAACTTTAAAGCCTTTGTCTGTCATTAGGTTTATGCTGCGTTTCTCGGTTTGATTCGTATAGATGGATCTAAGGCAGTGACGTATCTAGACGGTCGTTCTCCCTTGTAAAGCTACGCTCTGTTAATGTCCCATATATGATGGCAAAACATAAGGTGGTACGGTTTAGATTACTTGTGTGTCTGTCAGGATGAAATCTAAACTAACTGGGATGTTACTGTAACTGGAGTCATCGATGGAGGAGTTAACGCTGCTCTCAACAGTATTCCAGCTAAATGTCGGGGGTCAGTCAATAATTGTGTCTAGACTAGGCAGTGTAGCCATTTCAGAAGCAGCGATCTGGGGGACGACTAGATGTGTCCACCATGTCAAAGAGCCTGACCCCCGTTAGTTGCTTCCGTTGCGACAAGCACGAGTTGCTTAAGGCCAATTTCGCCCCGAATCTTCACGGGGTGTTCCCATAGTTTGGAAAAGCCAAATCAACATCTAAAAAAAGCATCCTAGCTGTAAGCTGCATGCTTAAGAGAAATATATAACAGTATAAATTATAGTCTTTGAGTGAGTGAATGAGTGAGTATGTTTTTACGCCGCTTTTAGCAATATTCCAGCAATATCACGCGGGAATTCTTCACACATTGTATCCATGTGGGCAATCGAACCCAGGTCTTCGGCGTTTAGACCATTAGATTACCCCATCGCCCCTTGAAGTCTTTGAAGGGCATTTAGCAGTGATACACATAAAGGCGGAAACTTATGAATGTCAACTTCTTTATTGTGAGGAGCACGTCGTTTCTGAGTATATTCCCCTCCACTCCTCAGGTGAATTATCGGGTGAATTATCAGGTGAATTATCGGGTGAATTATCAGGTGAATTATCGGGTGAATGATGAAGGAGTAAGATTAGACTCAGAAACATCGTGTTCCTCAAAATAAAGAAGTTGACATCAATAAATTGTCGCCTTTATGTGTAAACCATGTTAGTGACATCACAAATCCTTCACACTGCGATATTTGGTTTCTTTTAATTGTCTAAATATATCCGACAGTGTACTGAACAACACTAGTCCGCGTTTGTAGTAATCTTGCACCTGCTTACGCTTTGACCTGCAACGTCACACTATCAAGCAATATATCCAACCAATAGGAATGTTGACTTCTGGAACAGGATGCTTACCAACAAGGTAAATGTTATAATTGTGATTACTATTCCGATTCGGGGCGGTGGGGTAGCCTAGTGGGTAAAGTGTTCGCTCGTCACGCCGAAGGCCCGGGTTCGATTCCCCACATGGGTAAAATGTGTGAAGCCCATTTCTGGTGTACCCCCTCCGTGATATTGCTGGAATATTGCTAAAAGCAGCGTAAAAGCACTCACTCACTATTCCGATTCCGATTACAGTACAGATCCTGGTACTTTTAGGGGTTATATCCTATCTGGGATTCGAGTCCAAACTTTCAGAGACAGGCACCTAATCGCTAGCACCCAAAGTCAACGATCTAATCTACTCAGCCACCGCAGCTTCCTCAAAAATGGAAGGCAGGGGTTGGTGTAGACTGTCTCACAGTCCCTGAACCACAATATTTTCCCCAATGCCCAGCCCTCCCTGCAATGTAGTCCGTCTCACAGACCCTGAAATGCCCCAGCCTAGCCCTCCCTGCAATGTAGTCTGTCTCACAGTCCCTGGACCACAATATTTTCCCCAATGCCTAGCCCTCCCTGCAATGTAGTCTGTCTCACAGTCCCTGAACCACAATATTTTCCCCAATGCCTAGCCCTCCCTGCAATGTAGTCTGTCTCACAGTCCCTGAACCACAATATTTTCCCCAATGCCTAGCCCTCCCTGCAATGTAGTCTGTCTCACAGTCCCTGGATGCCTAGCCCTCCCTGCAATGTAGTCTGTCTCACAGTCCCTGAACCACAATATTTTCCCCAATGCCTAGCCCTCCCTGCAATGTAGTCTGTCTCACAGTCCCTGAACCACAATATTTTCCCCAATGCCTAGCCCTCCCTGCAATGTAGTCTGTCTCACAGTCCCTGAACCACAATATTTTCCCAGATGCCTAGCCCTCCCTGCAATGCTAAAGCCCTAAATGAAGCAAGTCTAGACTTCCTCAGGTCCTGAATCTCTGGTCTCACTGGGGCTCCTTTTCAATTTAAATGGGTTTACTTGCTACTATCCGAATTATATATATTCAGCGACTAAATCAAAGTCTAGGGTTTGTGACTCATCCGTCGGTGCTCCCTAATGTAAAAGGAGCAGGAACCTTCACAATTGTGATTCAACATGGCGTGTTTGGACAATCCCATTTCAATTATCATCAAAAAAACCATTAACCATGTCCAAGATTCAAATTCAAATGTGGGGCAGGGGTCAAGCAACGATGTCACAACCTCAGTAACATCGTTAGCAGCGTGAACAGCAGACCAACAGTCCTGCACCACAATCGAGGTTGGCGGACATGAATTCGGCACCACTTTTGACACTTTTCTCGATGACGTTGCGTCAGGTTAGATCGTATGGCGGGACGACGTGGTCGTATCCCGTGATGATGAAAGCGATTTCTGTCTGTGTGGGGTAGTTACCGTCGACGTCATGGAATGGTTTGCGCAGTGGTCAATGTAGTGTGGAAGCTGTGCCGGAGATGGACCACCCGTATCCATCTGACCTGTTTTGACGTTGTGAAACGTGGACGTCCTGCACGTATGCAATCGGCGACTTCATTATTGCATTGGTAACGTTTCAACAGTGCTGAAATGGTGTTTCGGGAGCAATGGAAATACGAAGCCACCTGAAGTCGAGACCTTCCCCACAGGCCATCCCAATAGCCTCCTATTGTGCAGTAGTGAGTCGTGGCATGATGTGAGGTTCAATAGCCGTCTTACGAGTCTTTAGACAGTTTTAACAAGATATGTTTAATATTGATTTGATATCAAAAGTATCGATCCTCAGATTATACTTACTGTAACTTACTCAACTTTTAACCTATTCTGTCTGTAAATAGCAATAACAGGATTGTTAAGTGTAAAAATATCACCATGCATCCGTGTTTCAGTGGCAGAGAGCGTAGTGACGTCATTTGATTGTGGAGCCTTTGCCATCACAATGGTCTGTAGAACATTCTGATGCAACTTCATGGCAGCAATATCTCCTGGGGTATCTCTTGTCTACACTAGCTTTGGATAATAAATAGAGAATCTCACCCGAGTGTCTTTTGATATCAAATATATCACCACGAGTTGATAAAGTAACAAATATCCGAGTCTTGCCGAGGATATTTTTACTTTTATCAACGAGTGTTGTTATATTTGATATCAGAAGACAGGAGGGTGAGATTCTATTTATCATCCACAATCACTCTTCATTAGTTTTCAATGAAAAATGTACATCTTTGAACACAGTACTGCCATTAGATTTGTAGTGCAGCGATGTCATAACATTGTGACGTCAACAAGTTCATGACGTCATAGCACTGTCAGGGCATTGTACAAAATCTACTGTCAAAACGATATCTCCTAGGAGATATCGTCTGATCTCACACAAGCGATATCTACTGTGGAATACAGTTTTGGATGATAAAACTATATAGTACGGATGCCACATCGATACTTTTTCTAAGACATACAATTATTGATACATTCAAAACTGTATCGACATTTAGTTTTGAAAGAAGGTGGTATAAATGTTTATGTATCGGTTACATTTTGCAATTGTATCATGATTTTTTTAGGTTATGAGAGTTATAAATGATTATTTTTCATGCACAAAGATGGGAAATTAGAACTTTTTAATCTCTGAGAATAAAAAATGCTGATCTTTACATGGACAATTATGAAATATGAAATATTTAGGTTCAAAACGTAACTAAATTTACGTAATAATGCCGCGAAAATATGTATCGTGATGCATATCGAATCGTGACATGGGTATCGTGATACGTATCCATTCATGAAACTTATGTATTGTGACATCCCTACTATACTAGGCACATAAAGAAACTGTGCATACGAAAATTTAAAATCTACATTTATCAAACCTGTGTAGACACATAAGGATTTAAACTCAGAGATAAGTAACATGTATCCAACATGCAGGCACGTGCCACGTTCGGTGACGTCAGTGGGTTCGTCCTTGAGACATGCAATACGTTGTTGCACGTGCATTCCGGGAAAGAGAAACAGAGCAAATGAATGCCACACAATACTGTCACATTGGAAAGCTCAACCCCTGCCCTTGCGATCGTTCAAAAAATTAAACGGCTATTGAAACGCATAGCATGCCAAGGCTCACGTCTGCACAACGCCATGAGGCCATGGGGATGGTCCGTGGGGGAATGTCACAACGACAAGTGGCTGCACATTTCCACTGCCACCGGAACACCATTTATGCACTGGTGAGACGCTACCAGAACACAAATGACGTCATCGATCGGCCACGTTCTGGACGTCCACGTGTAACAACGCCAAGACAGGACAGATGGATAAGGGTGACCCATCTTCGCCACAGGTTTCAGACTGCAGTGATGACTGACCAAACCATTCCAGGACTTCGCCGTATCCATCCCAACACAGTTCGACAACGTTTACGTCATCACGGGATCAGACCACGACGTCCCGCCATACGGCCTATCCTGACACAACGTCATCGACAAGCTCGCCGAATGTGTTGCCGAAATCATGTCCGCAGACCCTTGTTTTGGTGGAGAAATGTTGTTTTTACAGATGAGTCCAGTTTTAACATGTCCCATAGTGATGGACGTCAACGTGCCTATAGACGCGTGGGAGAACATTATGCACAGGCCTGTGTCTTGGAGAGGAATCGCTTTGGTGGTGGTTCCGTGATGATTTGGGGTGGATTAACAGCACGCCAAAGAACTCCTTTGGTGATTGTTCAGGGCAACTTAACTGGTGTGGGCTACAGGGATCAGATTCTTCGACCTGTGGCAATTCCTTTTCTGCAACGTCAGGGCCCTGGGTTAACATTCCAACAGGACAATGCCCGCCCTCATACGGCAAGGGTTGCTATGGATTTCTTGCAACAACACAACGTTGACTTACTGCCTTGGCCTGCAAATTCACCGGATCTCTCCCCGATAGAGCATGTTTGGGACGAGATGGATCGACGTCTACGCCGTCTTCCTAATCCGCCAGATAATGTCCTTGACCTTGCAACAGAACTTGAGAGAATCTGGCGTGACATCCCACAAGCCTTCCTTGCACGTTTGATAGGCTCTATGCATCGTCGATGCACTGCTGTTCTCAATGCCGATGGTGGACATACCCGTTATTGAGCTTGTGACATGGTCGTTTGACCCCTGTCCCGCTTGTGGACTCGTGACGTCATTGTGATTGACTTTTCAATTGAAATTCTCCCGACTTGTTATGGTCTCATGATCCCTCCATTAAAGTTTATATGTACCTTTGACATTGTTATCGTACTTATCAACTGGGATAACATTTTGACAATGCACAGTTTCTTTGTGTGGCTAGTATATATAGACAACATCTTGCCTGAATTGTTTTGTGTCCACATTCATTCCTGTCCACAGACATGTGTGTTATGACTGGCTGTAAGATACATTCAAGTAAACAATCCACAATAAATCCCTAAACAAAAAACCCAGCAAATATATATGAGGTATTCTACAAACAGGGTTTTTAAAAAAGTATTACATTAGCAAGCTATGCAATATAAAATAACAAGGTCTGCAGTTCTCAAAACATTTTAATGACATAAATGCATAGTCAGTGCATAGCACCATTTTCTGCAAGTTTAATCCTTATTAAGTACACAGTCATGTCTTCAATAAAACACAATCACTTGTCATCCTGACATTATTCCTTGAAAATGTTGACATCCAAACTCATACATCATTTGAGCTTTAAGTTGCATCCTATTTCATTGTTTTGTTTTACATAACTGTTGACAGTCTCAACCTTTCTTTGCATGATTCCAGTCATGCCTTTGAGAAGAAACATGCACTTGATTCACAATAAATATATTAAATAACTTAGAAACCAAGCTAAATATCTGTGATGGGTAGCTGTCAAATCAGTGTTTGTAACACAAGTGGATAAGTATATACATGTGTTATCATTCCAGATGAGTATGCCACGTTAATGAGTGCCATAGACATGCAGAGCTCCAAGATGGTCACAATCTCTGAATCTAGCAATGCACACATGTAGTCATTCCAGATGAGTACACCTCCTTATTGAATGTCCCCAAACATCATTTTCGAAACCAGCCACAATAGCTGGTTGTTCAAATCTACAACCTCATGTTAACACATTGATCAGTTAGTATTTCCATATGGATAAACCTCCACTTTGAGCACCATACACATTATGTCATCTGATTTCCACCAGTAGCATCTTCACAAGGAAGTCCCCACTTTCAGCAGCATCTTCACAAGAAAGTCCCCACTTTCAGAAGCATCTTCACAAGAAAGTCCCCACTTTCAGCAGCATCTTCACAAGGAAGTCCCCACTTTCAGAAGCATCTTCACAAGGAAGTTCCCCACTTTCAGCAGCATCTTCACAAGGAAGTCCCCACTTTCAGCAGCATCTTCACAAGGAAGTCCCCACTTTCAGCAGCATCTTTACAAGGAAGTCCCCACTTTCAGCAGCATCTTCACAAGGAAGTCCCCACTTTCAGCAGCATCTTCACAAGAAAGTCCCCACTTTCAGCAGCATCTTCACAAGGAAGTCCCCACTTTCAGAAGCATCTTCACAAGGAAGTTCCCCACTTTCAGCAGCATCTTCACAAGGAAGTCCCCACTTTCAGAAGCATCTTCACAAGGAAGTTCCCCACTTTCAGCAGCATCTTCACAAGGAAGTTTTCCCATCTTCACTTTCAGCAGCATCTTCACAAGGAAGTCCCCACTTTCAGCAGCATCTTCACAAGGATATCCCCACTTTCAGCAGCATCTTCAGTCCCCACTTTCAGCAGCATCTTCACAAGGAAGTCCCCACTTTCAGCAGCATCTTCACAAGGAAGTCCCCACTTTCAGCAGCATCTTCACAAGGAAGTCCCCACTTTCAGCAGCATCTTCACAAGAAAGTCCCCACTTTCAGCAGCATCTTCACAAGGAAGTCCCCACTTTCAGCAGCATCTTCACAAGAAAGTCCCCACTTTCAGAAGCATCTTCTCGAACAAGTCCCTCTACTGCCATGATTATAGATTCTACTACCTTTACAAACTCAAGTCAAAACATACACCATCGTCTTCGAATGTCACCACAATCACTGATCCAGTAAGAATATGTTTGAATATATGATCCAGGGATTTACCTGACGCTTAAATGTGCGTCCAGTACGAGCAAATGTAGAGAATGGACGCAGAAAAACAATTCACTGTGTCCAGAGGGATGCACAATATTATTCACTGTACCCACAACACATCTATGACTTTGCTAGATGTTTAGTTGGTTGTTTCTTTCAGAGCAGTTACGTGCATCATTTCACCCATCAGTCCACATGATCAATGATTCATTCCAGGCACTAAAGAAATTATCAAAACATACAGTTCTCGACCCTGTTACTCCACAGGACCCTCGTATTGCCTACAAGGATCCTTAAAACTATTAATTAGGGGTCCCCATGACCCTATGTTTGAGTCGAGGTAACACTCTGTATCATCCAACCACAAACTCAGGTCACCACATTTTAGTCCAGCGGATAATGGCATGATTTGTATGCAATTGTGCATTTACATGTTACAAGTGAAATTTTAGTTAAATTACTAAGAAAATAATATTCTAACATGTTTCAGATAGGGAGGCACTCAAAAATATGTTTTATTATTTTTGTATGAAGCTCCAAAAAAATATTGTTAAATATTGAGCCACTGTTATTTGTTGTGTGGAAAGTACTAGAAATGAGGTGAAGTGAGAGTGATCTCCCCTTTGTTATGACTTTGCTATTATGTCATCAGTCAAGATTACAATGATGTAATCAGTCAAATAGTCCTGTATAATTGGAAAATTTTACATTCATTTTACCAACATGGCAAGAAGAATGTTCATTGTTGCTGAGGAGACATGAATGGTGAGTAAAACTCTTTTCACTGTGTTAGTTATGTGCAAGGGACACCTAGGGGTTTCATCACTAACAAGTTGCAGGGACATTAAATACTTGAAAAGACAAATAATGTATATCTTCTTGATTGGTATATAGTTTCAGAATTGTCTAAAACAAACAAATACCCAATTTACATCATTCAGATTACTTGGTATTTTTAAAAATAATGGTATCACAGGCTATGTAGAATTTACGTGTAATAATACTTCCCTTCCACTGATCTTATTTCTTTAGATGGAGGGGACTTCTATTGAAAATGTTTGTTGAATTACAGTTTTGATGGTATTTCACTACCAATTAAGTAAAAGCCATATGTGGTTTATTTTCTAAAGACAGAATGGTTTATAAACAAAATAATGTCACTGTTATTTGGAAAATTTTAGCTTCAGATTTCAAAATCATCTAGGTGTACAAGTTCAAATCATGTCCATGATAATAACTAATTAGTGTAATATTTCTTTTATCAATATAAATACAGCAGGTTCATAAGTTATTCAAATTCTCAAAATATCAATCATGAGGATTAGGTTATGACAAGGACAGTTCATACTATCATGTCATGAAATTAATTATTATTTTGGTCATTTCTCCAGCTTTAGCTTTATTATTTTCCAGATTCCGTGGATGATGACTAGTCAAACACAATCCACAGATGCTTCCAAGATGGATTGGAGTTTGTGTGTATTTTGCCAGAAATGCACAAATGATCCTGTTATCTGCCCTGCCAATGCTAAGAACCAACCAGGAAACGGTTACGCCACAATGGCTAGTAATTTACAAGTCTTTTCTGAACTTGGACAGCTGCCAATGGACATAAATTTGAGTTGTTTTGGAGGTGTTATGAATATTTTCACCACCTTTGAAAATCACAGAGCACGCTGGCACAAGTCATGTAGTCTCAAATTCAACAATAACATGCTGCAGAGGGCAAAGAAAAGACGATTGTCCAATGAACTTGAAACTTCAAACAGTAAATGCCGTGACTGCCTTTCCCCATCACAACATTGTGAAAGTAAAGTCGTAAGAAGTTCACCTCATGACAGGAACAAAACTGCAGATAACGGCAACCTTTGCTTTGTTTGTGAGCAGTCAGGACTGCAATCAGAGTTAAGGTGTGTATCAACCTTTCAAGTTGACAAACGTGTACTGTGAATGTGCTTTGAAGTTGCAAGATAGTCAGCTGTTAGCTAAGCTCAGTACTAGGGATTTGATGGCACAGGATGCAAAATATCACCGAGATGTCTTTCCAATTTATACAGAAAAGCAACCCAAAGCGAGGAACTTATACAGTCAGATGATATCAGTCATTCCCAAAGACTTAAAGAAGGTTTAGCTTTAGAGCTCAGCTTAAACAATATGTTGACGAATGTAGACAAGAAAATCTCCCTGTACTGAAACTGTCAACACTGTCTAAAGTGTATTCAAGCTATTTGAAATATCATGGCCTGAAATATGACATTCACAGCACAAGACTGAAGAACAAGTTACTAGATGAGTTTCCAGATCTCCAAGCTCATTCAAGTGGAAGGGAAACACTTTTGGTCTTCACAGAACATGTAGGGGAAGCTCTGAGAACCGTTCATGATCAGGACTTTGATGATAAAGGTCAGATACTCTGTAAAGCAGCTCAGCTTGTGAGAAAGGACATTTTGGCAATGACACACAAACCTTTTGCAGAGTCTATTCCACACTCTCTACTTTCTCTTGTTGAAATGATTCTGGAAGGAACAACCCCTAATTCACAGACAACTGCTAGGAAACAAACTGCCTTATCACTTTCTCAGCTACTTGTTTACAACTGTAGTAAACGCGCAAAGGAAGGAACTACATCCCTTTCTGCACAACAAGGATCGAGAGAGACACCACTTCCCTTGTATATTGGAATGACACTTCATGCCAAGACACGGAAAAGAGACTTGATTGACTTCATGTATGACTTTGGAATGTCTGTATCATATGACAGAGTGTTGGAGGTTTCCACAGAGGTGGCTAATGCAGCATGCAGGAGATACATTGAGGAACAAGTTGTCTGCCCATCAAAACTCAAATTCAACCTCTTCACAACATCAGCAATAGACAACATTGATCACAACCCAAGCTCAACAACTGCACAAGGGTCCTTTCATGGTACAGGCATATCCATCTTTCAACATCCAAGTAAAGACAATCAAGGGGTTGACAGAATGAAACCTTTAGAAGTAAACTCCAAACCACAGTCAAAATCTGTGAGAGAGCTGCCTGCTTTTTATGAAGAGGTTCCACCAGTTATCCTGAAGAAAGATGTTTCATCCTGTCCAAAGACACCATGCTATCATGCTTCTACAGCTGTGAAACTTGATGACTTCATGCAGCAAGAAAATGAGTAAGTCAAGTTAAGTTCTTTCAGAAAAAACCTAAATTATGTTTCAATTATCATAAGCTTCTTCAACCTTCTAATAATTTAAATATCATATAAATACTCCCTGACATCTTAATTGGTAAAAGTAGGAGAAAAACTTCCTTTACTTCTTAACTTGTCACTGTGAAGACTGTAAACTTGATCAAACTTTCACCTTTATATACCGTATATACATATCCACACACAGTATGCATGATAATTGAACATAAAAAAAATATTCAAGGCTCATTTCTATTGTTTTCAGGTGGTTAACACATGTGGACACACTAATTAAAGAAAGGCATGCTGATCATCCTGATGTTTCATGGGCTGTTTACCATGCAAAGAAGCAACATTCAGATCAGATCATCAAGTCCATTTCTTCTCTCCTTCCACTTTTCACAGAAAATGCGGACTCTGCTGCAATGTTGAAACATGGCATGGATGTGATTACACAGGCAACATCTTACCTCAATCCCGGACAAACTCCAGTCATAGCTGCAGACCAACCATTGTTTGCCACAATGAAGCAGATACAGTGGCAGTATCCAGCAACACATGGTGAGGACAAGATGATAATAATGATGGGAGGACTGCATATAGAGATGGCGTTTCTGAAAGTGTTGGGAAACTGGCTCATGGACAGTGGATGGACAGATATGATAGTTGCAGCCCAGATTGCATCTTCTGGCAAAGCTGATTCGTTCCTTCGAGGATCACATGTCAGAAGGACTAGACGAGCACATGAAGTCACTGCTTGTGCACTTTATCATCTTCTTCTTGAGGCTCATGGAAAATCTTCAGCAACATTTGAAGACTGGATCAACACCAGATCGAAGATATCCCCAACATTCCACTTCTGGTTGATGGTTCTTAACTTGGAACTATTGCTCTTGTCATTTGTTGGATGTTTAAGAAGCGGAAACTTCTGTGAGTATATCAGACTTCTAGAAGCCATGACACCGTGGATGTTTGCCTTTGACCACACAAACTATGCAAGATGGATGCCAGTGCATATTCGAGACCTGAAGAATCTCAGTCATATTCATCCAAACACAACTGAAGAGTTCAAGAAAGGGAATTTTGTTGTTCACAAGACAGAGAGGGCTTATTCTGCAATCCCATTGGATCATGCTCATGAACAGAATAATGCAAGCGTAAAAGGTGATGGAGGTGCCATCGGTCTTACAGAGAATGCATCTGCCTTGAGAAGATGGACAGTTGGCGGTCCAGAAGTGAACAGAATTCTTGAAGAATTTGATGCCTCTTTGAATGTTCAAAGTATTTCTTCTGTTTCACACCATGAACAGAGTAGAGGAATGCAAGAATCATTTTACACAGATGTTAGTACTCTTACAGATGTAATCAGAGAGTTTGGAAGTCCTTTTCTTGAGCATGGACATGATCTTCTTGTAATATCAACAAGGGACATTGCTGCATCAGCTGTTGTAGAAACTCTGAATAAAATTGAACTTTGGGAGAGATCAATATGAAGACTTTGTCAAGGAGCCGGTTCATCAAAGGTATTGCACTTTCAGAACCTATCAAGAAGAACAAACTGTCACTTTTGTCATCACCTCAAATAAAATCACAGTCATCCTCAAAGATGCAAGTTGTCAGCCTAAAGAATGACTGTAGTCTGTTCTCTCAGCCTTTACATATCCTGTCAAACTAGAGAAGGCAATTTAGATGAGTTTTTCAAGCATGAGAATCAAACTTGTCCACCATCACTCTCACATCTTGGTATGCTTCGATCATCTGTTAAATCACAGCTTCTTCAGTG